GGCTTGTGAGATTTTTAAAGTGGTATAGCTTGATCCATACAGATGTGCAATATGCAATAATTTAAAGTATGTGCTAAAGGGGTCATGTGCCTGCTTCCCCACCAATTCAGCTCAGAGCTCTTGTTTTTATCAAGTGACTGCAAGGCTTCCCAAAGTTGGCTTGGTGCATGTTGTGCTGCCTGATGAAGCAGTTGTATAATTGCTTCACTGCACAAATTGATTTAAGAAGTGCTTTATACCAAGTAAGACCATTTGTCCATCTAGCTAACTCTTATCTACAACGCTGCGATTGCTGGTGGCTCTCCACGGCTTTGGATGCAAGTTTTTCCAGCCCTGCCTGAGATGGAACATGCAAAGCATATACCCTTCCTCTGAGCCACCCCACTCCCCCAATTTTTGCAACAATGAACAATGGAAGGCTAATAAATATGCAGTAATAAGACACATAAGAAACTGTGAATCAAGCTTAGGGTGATATCACACTAACTCATACTCTGAGCAGACCAATTGAAACCTGAGTGTGTTTTAAATTCATCGTGATGTGTATGCTTCTTGCAGCAACCTATAATCTATAAAAGTTGGAGTACCAAGGGAGTGCTAAGCCAGTTGTTTAGTACTCCGCTGTAGAAGAGTTAAGCATGAGCGTAAATAATTCCCAGTGCAACTGAAGGGTCTTCAGCACAGTTCAGCCAGACCCAAAGTCGTCTAACAACTTACGCTTACATTTGCAGTTCCTTTGCATCCTTGACATTGCCAAATTCTGGCTAAAGCAGCCTTCAATCCATACTTTTCAGCAGGCTAATGTGTCTTGGTTTTGTTGAAACATTGCTAGCTTGATCTCCCCCCCCCCCATTTGCAGTTGTAAATCTGTTGCAGTGACTCGTGCTTCCCCAGTAGCAGCTGACCTGCATCTTGCACACGGGAACTCCAGGCAACATATCTGCTGTTACCATTGACATGAAGAAAGTGGTTGTAAGGGTGCCACCGACACCAAATGGGTTATTTGCCTGTGATGTGAGTAGCAATGAGTGGCACCAGTCCCAGCTCCCATCCCCACTTCATTTCGTGCTCCTCTTACCCAATCCCCATCGTGGTATAGAGGGGGAGCACTTTCCTTCTACTCTACCTCTCTAGTGCAGGAATGTTCAGAACATCAGTGAGCTGGAAGATGGGGAACCTGAGGTCTTCCAGCTGTTGGACTTGAATCATTCCTTCTATGCTGGCTGGGGTTGATGAGTGATGGCGCCTAGCAATTATAGGTTCCCTATCACTGACCTCACTTTTAATTCTTTTTAGCTGTATGAGGTCATCTGTGTGTTCTCATGTATACAATTTCCCTTTAAACTGGTGTGAAATGCATCCACATTATTGTCTTTCAAGGGTGTGTGTTACTGTCACTCAAAGATTGAAATTACTTTGGAGTTCATATTTTTCAGTGGTGCAGAAGATCCTGAAAACTGCCTCCTATAGCTACAGCCTGGCACCTCTGCCTGCTGTGAAGAGTTTTTTGAGAAAAACACAAACCTCTTGTTTTTAGCTTCTCCGTTTTGAAAAAAAAAAAATCTGGCTTTATTTGTAAAGTCTACAAAATACAGAGGAGTCTGGCAGGACACTTACTGTAAGTCAGAAAATAAATAAGTACTTTTCTTGCTCTATAGAAGATAAAATGTGATTTGCATATATAAAATATAAAGTACGGCTCTGTACCAACATCCTGGCCGTGCCACAAGGCGGAATGGCATAAAGGACGTGAAAAATAACTTATATTCGTGCAATAAATAAATCACAGGTAGGAACAAAGGGAAACTGGGGTAGGGGAAATGCTAAATAGGGAACCCCCATAAGCATCATCACAGGGTGGAGGGGGAGGATGGATGGACGGATAGACAGACAACACTGGTTTGGAAGCTGATTCCATCATGGAGGGGGATGTGATGTCACTGTAAGCTGCAGGATGGGTGAACCCAACCATATGTCTAAAGAAACCAAAGAGTCAATTGTTTGCCATATAAATAAGTCACTGTGGTACATGCCTGGAAGTGACTGCCCACAAATACTCACTGGTTCCTATATTAGCACATATATTTAAGGGTGGAAGGTACCTTCAAGACTCATCTAATCTAACCCTCCATGCCCTTTCATGGCTACCTGAACTCAAGCCAACCCTGACTTGTTTCCTTGCCAACATCTTAACATTATCAACGAGGTGGTGAACCTAGCATTCCAGGGCTGATGAGATTGTAGGTGGTGTACGTTTCCTTTTTTTCCTCTTATGCTCCCAGCTTGGGCCAAAATTCTAGCCCGATTATAAAGTTTATGGTGATGGACCAAAACCGATTTCCCCCGGTGGATTAGAGGTGAGTATTATGCTTTAATCGGGTGCTGGTTCCTGCATGCACCATTAGCACATCTCTGTGCCACATCTGGCCCATGAATTCCATCCCAAACCTGGTTTAAAGGGAACAGCAGCTTTATTGAAGCCTGGCATATATATTTTTAAACCCACTTAGCATCACATTTAAACTGAGCCTCTGCTGGGCTTCTTATGGCACCACTGCTCATTCCCAGTGGAAGAGCAGTAATCTAGAGGGAATTTAAACTTCAGAGGAGGAAAAACTCACTCAAATGCTGACTGGTCAGCAATGCATAACTTTCGCTAATCAGTGTTATTTACAGTGCCACCTTATGTGTCTCCATTCAGAAGGAAGTCCTGCCGAGTTTGGTGGGGCTTATTCCCAGGTGAATTGGGCATCTAGTATCAGGCTAACCAATGTCATGCCCTCCAAATAAACCTTGGAATCAAACTCCCATCAACCCCCAGGATTGCACCCTTAAAAGGATGCTGGGATAAATATTGTGAGCTCTTAATTCCTCCGAGCAAAGCTCAGCTTCCCCTTCACCTCAGTTTCTCCAACCAACTTTTATCTGGGTAGTTCATTAGGGAAGAAATTGCTTTTGGCGAGGAGCTCTCAGTTTTCGTTTGTGTAGCCAGGATTGCTTTAAGCTATTTTAAACTGCCCTGTGTGCAAATTAATCTTTCAATATGCATTTGCTGGCTTGCACAGGGCTGAGGAAATTGTGTTTCTTCTGCGCCCTCCCCTCCCCGCACCAGTTGCAGTGCCCCCTCCCCTCTTCCATACAACTGAATGGAGCAAAGAGAAGGGGGATGCAGGTCAGAGAACACTCATCCCTGTTTGATGAGTGTTCCTACGTGCAGTTTATTCTCCTTCCTCCACCAGAGTGAATGGACACCCCCCCACTTGTTTACAGAGAGCACAAAGGGGTTCATAGGGTTTTCTTTTAGCCTAGGTTAGGGAAGTGGAACTGACGCCTCTCTGGCTGTTGTTCGGCTGCTTCTCCCACCAACTTCAGCCAACATGAGCAAAGGGCTAGGATAATGGGAGTTGCAACCCAACAAGAGATGAAGGCCCACAGGTTCCCCAGCCCTGCTGCAGAATCCTCCTGACTTTGGGGCTGGGCCAGTCCTCTGCATACTTAAATTCTCCTGAAAGTAGATGATTTTCAATTTTTGTAATGATGATGTTTAATTATTTCCTGATGCTCTGGGCCTAGTTTTTTCCACTACACAGGGAAGATGGAGAGTAAATATGGAAGTTTCTCTCCTCGCAATACCTCATCTGCCATTTATTTTCAAACAGGTTGATTTAGACACACTTTGCAGATCATGCTGGGGTTTCTTTCTGACTGCCTCCTCTTTGTCCCCAAATTATCATACCCGTCACTCAGCAGGAATACTGCAAAATTGGGTAACAGGCCACCACAGTGATGCCTCTGCAAACTATTCACACTAGAACCAAATGGCTTTCCCAGGATTTCAGTTATAATCCTGTTTCCCCTTCCCCATCTCAACTATTTCACGTGCTTTACCCTTCATTCTCCTGCCTCGCCCCATCACTCCCCTCCTCACTTTCTCCTAGCTTGCTCTCCCTCTCCTTAGGACGTTGCTTCCACTCTACGTCAGAGATCTTGCAATCTCAGCCCAAGAGCACCGTTACAACATAGTGTCCCATGAACTAGCGTCACGCACACCTGCACAGCTGGAGACAGTGGATGCCTTTTCAAATCACTGCGGTGTGCTGTATTCTAGCATGCTATGCTAGAGTGGGATACCAGCAACTGACCTAGTCTTCTCGGCATGTACCTCAGTGACCCCTTCCTCAGATCGTTCGTACGACCGTACAGCAATAATTTCCTTCCTTGTCCCTTGCTGCAATTAGTTCCCTCTTTATTGTCATTGAGCCTGCCCACTTACCAAAGGCCCAGGTCTAATTAGGGCTGCTCTTGCTACAGCCGGTTCAAACCACACCCACAAATTGAAGAGATCTGAGCCAAAGGGTGCATGGCTGTGAGATACAATGAAGAGGAAAGGCAGAGTGACAACACAGACAAACACAGGGCCAGGATGAGAAAGGTGAGTTGACAAGGGTTCCAGAACCTTGCTTCATCCTGGATGGTTCCTGCAGCGGCAGCTCTCACCAACAACACGGCGGCTTCTACCTAGTTTGCCCTCTCACAGGAAGGTTATTTCCCTTTTGTAACCCTTGTGACCGAAAGCTTCTCCGAGTCTGTGTTCCCAGCTTATAGCAGGGAAGCCCTCTCTAGGCCCACCCCATTTCATCAGCTGGGGGCAAGGGTACGCAGAAAGGCAAGAGGAGAGAAACCTGGCAAACATAAAACCGGGACGGGGGGAGAGAGGAAAAAGGGGATAACTGGCCACTGCATTTCAATCCACGGATAAACATCAACAGTTAATTACGCAAGTCGGGCACCACCTTCCCACCCTCTCCTCGTGAAGGTTAAGGGACAGAGGAGGAAGTTCAACATTCAGCCGTTTCGTCTTCAAGTTGATTCTGTCTCCTTTGGATGGCAGAAGAAAAGTGGAAGAAGGGGGAGGGGCCAGTGCAGCTACAGCCATTCTAGGTGAGAGCTGGGCAGAGGCATGGCAACAGGACTCAGTTCGCGACACGGGCTTACGGACACTAGGAGTATGTGGCCTGGTTGGAGCCAGATTTGACGATGGTGATGACGCTGGCAGTGGCCACCTTGCCAGTCGTGCCGTGTGCGGTGACCGTGCGGGCGAAGCCCTGCAGCGCCTCGTATTTGCCGCGCAAGGCGTCGAGCTCAAGGCGCATGGCGGCGTTCTCCCTCGCTAGCTTATCCACCTCCCTCTCCAGCTCCGTCTTCTGCTTCTGCAGCTCCTCCTTCTGACACACCCGCTTGACCCGGCAGCTGGCCGCGTAGCCACGGTTCTTCAGCGTGCGCCGGCGCTGCTTCAGCCGCGCTACCTCCTCCTTGGACAGGCCCCGTAGGTGGTGGTTCAGTTCTCGCACCGACAAACCCATTAGTTCTTCGTCGGAAAGGTGTGGCGTGTTCTCGCCCATTTCCCGTTTGATCTGTCGGTGAGCAGAAGGAGCAGGTGAGTATCGAGCACCAGAAAAGCTCAGGAAAAGGGGACGTGAGGTGAGGGAGAGCAGCTCAAAAAGGCAAAAAGCCTAGGAGGAAGCTGAGCAGGTCTGGTAACGTTCTGCACTGAGGAAACCCAAGTGCTCTGACAGTCGTGATGCACATTATAAAATGCATACATTATGTTTATTTGGGGATGTCGAACCTGTGGCCCTCCAGATGTTGTTGGACTACAGCTCCCATCAGCACCGAGCAGAATGGCCAATGATCAGGGATGATGGGAGGTGTCATTTTTAACTACCAGACCTCGACAGGACCACAGGTTCCACAGCTCTGTGGTAATTTACACATACAGTGGTACCTCAGGTTGAAAACTTAATTCGTTCTGGAGGTCCATTCTTAACCTGAAACTGTTCTTAACCTGAGCTACCACTTTAGCTAATGGGGCCTTCTGCTGCCGCCGTGTGATTTCTGTTCTCATCCTGAAGCAAAGTTCTTAACCCAAGGTACTTAACCCAAGGCAGCTGGATTGAGGCGGGTCGGGGCTGCTGATTCTTCTAGACCTGTCAGCAGCCTTCGACATGGTCGATCACGAACTCTTGGACCACCGCCTTGCTGACGTGGGGATCCAGGGCACAGTCCTTCAATGGCTGCGCTCGTTTCTCTCCGGTCGGGGACAGAGGGTGGCGCTTGGGGGGGAATTGTCATCGCGCCACTCCTTGGTGTGTGGAGTGCCTCAGGGTGCGATACTCTCCCCGATGCTTTTTAACATCTTTATGCGCCCCCTCGCCCAGCTTGTCTGGAGTTTTGGGCTGGGTTGCCATCAGTATGCCGATGACACCCAACTTTATCTGTTTATGGATGGCAATCCTGACAGCCCCAGACACACTGACCAGATGTTTGGAAGCTGTGGCTGGATGGTTACGTGGAAGCCGGTTGAAGTTAAATCCTTCGAAGACAGAGGTCCTCTGGCTGGGACGGGACGATATGGGATTTGGGGGGCAACTCCCATCTCTTGCGGGGGTGCAATTAGTGCCAGCACAGTCCGTTAAGAGTTTGGGTGTAATCTTTGATACCTCCCTCTCTATGGAGGCGCAGATTACAGCTATAACAAAGGCGGCATTTTTTCATCTCCGCCAAGCTAAGCAGTTGGCCCCTTATCTCTCTCACCCTGACCTAGCCACTGTGATCCACGCGACGGTCACCTCCAGACTGGATTATTGTAACTCGCTCTACGTGGGGTTGCCCTTGAGACTGACCCAGAAACTCCAGCGGGTGCAGAATGCCGCGGCGAGACTCCTTATGGGGTCTTCGCTGTGAGATCACATTCATCTGGTACTATACCAGCTGCACTGGCTCCCGGTGGAGTACAGGATCAGGTTTAAGGTGCTGGTTTTAACCTTTAAAGCCCTATACGGCCTAGGACCCTTGTACCTACGGGACCGCCTCTCCTGGTATGCCCCACAGAGGAACCTACGGTCTGCAAATAAAAACATCCTGAAGGTCCCAGGCCTCAGAGAGGTTAGGCTGGCCTCAACAAGAGCCAGGGCTTTCTCGGCTGCAGCTCCAATCTGGTGGAACGCTCTGTCACAAGAGACTAGGGCCCTGCAGGACCTGACATCTTTCCGCAGGGCCTGCAAGACAGAGTTGTTCCACCAGGCCTTTGGTCAGGGCGCAGCCTGACTCCCTCCTCTGGCAACCTGCACAGAATTTTGCTTAACGGTTGCAATTAATTTGATTTTAATTAACTTTTATAATGAAATGTTTTTAGAATGTTGGATTATTTGATTGTTTAATTATTTGATTGTTGTTAGCCGCCCTGAGCCCGGCTTCGGCTGGGGAGGGCGGGATATAAATAAAATTTATTGTTATTATTATTATTACTATTACTATTTCTGGGTTAGTGGTATCTGTAACCTGGAGCGTCTGTAACCTGATGCGTCTGTACCACTGTACTTCCAACAGATATTCAAGAGTGCTCACAAATTATGTCTAAAATGTGGGTGTGTTTTTATAATTAACTAGAAGTACTGAACTTGGTTCGGATCTGACCCTGCACATCTATGCTTTAGTTCCAGCAAAGTCCATAGGACTTACAAGTGACTCGTGACTAATTTATCCCATTGCTTTCAGCGGGACTAGTCAATGAGATTGAAAGTATGACTAACTTAGTCTGGATTCAACTCAGTGACTTTGAAATGATTAGCATAACAAATCAGTAACTGGTGCAACAGGTGTAGCATAGGCTTTCAATAATCTGATATCCAGCACACTTTGAGGTGTGAGACAATTAAAACAGGAACGTCACCTTGTAGAGTGCCCCCCCACTTCCTGGCTGCCTTAACCTACAAGCTTCAGTTCCGCACCCCTTGAAACCACACGAAACCTCAAGGCAATTACAGTGAACCAAAAAAAGATTTATAGTAGTGTTGTTTTGAATAGAGAAGTGGTGTACCAAAACAAGAAGCAGTAAAATTCAGGCCGCTGATGGCTAGCATTAGGAAGGGACTCCTGGACAAGATAAGGAATCAGGTGTCTCTATTTTCAATACCTGCTCAACCTCAAGGCCTCTTGACAAATAACACCAATTGCTCAACACTGCTTTATTATTATTGTTTCGTTTCCTCAAACATCACGGGTGTGCTCACCTACCACACACCCCTACAGGCTGTTTTGCGAGAAATCTCTCAGGAAACCGGCTTGCTCAGCTTCCCCTTCCATTATAGTCCCAGCAAGTGGGAAAACAAGTGTTATAATTTCCAGTTAAGACATTCCTTTTCCTTCCTGTTCCTAAGCTAACTTCTTGTACAACTTGGGTCAAGTTGTGTGCAAGGGGAAGCCCTTTAACTCTATATATGGGGCTGGGGTGGGGAAGGCCCTGGCATGGTTTAAGGAACATGGGGCCAAGGTGTCACATCAGACAGATGTTACCAAGAAAGAAAATACGGATTAGGCCTGGAGAGACTCCGATACAACAGGCAAAGTGAGCACATGCGGCACAAACTAATCCTGGTAGTAAAAGGCAGATCACGTTGAACAAAACAAAATGTAGTGCGATCCACCCTCAGAGGAAAAGTACCAGAGGAAGAGCACAGAATATCCTTCCCCTTTCGGCTCCACCCAGACTGGAATCTTTTGCAGACACTGTCTGCTGCCACTTTCCAAAACATATTTTTGCCCACCATGAGGATTAGAAACTCACGTTTCTCAAAAAGCTTAAGGAAGTCCAGATTCTCAGGATCCTCCTGTGCCTGTTTGCTGGTGGGAGGGGAGAAAGTCTAATTCCACACACTAACTTCTGCACGTATATTTACTGGCTCCGAACATTCGGGGAATAGGACAGGAAAAAGTGGGCAATAATAGAGGGAGGAAGCAGAGTTGTGAAATAAGAAATGGAGGGCCCAGAGAAAAGAGGGAAAGTGGAAGGCAGGCGAGAGTAAAGGAGGAGGTGGGGGAAAGCTACAGAAAATACACAGCAGAAATGATGGGCAAAGGTGCTTTTGCTTATTTCTGAATTGTTCCAAATGGGGCCAGGTTTTCCATTTAAACATATGGACAGTTGCTCACCTGCATAATGACCATTCTCCCACACTGGCCCACAGTTATGGGATGGATCAGACTCTCTCCCATCAGACCCTCCCATCCAGGTCTGACTTTGTCCTGATCTAGAGATCTATGAAAACAAGGGCTGGGAGAAGATTGCGTTTTGGTGAAGAGTGACTCTTACCTTTAGGGCTTTGCTCGACAAGCTGTCAGATGACATTTTACGTCGCGCTCCCACCGATCCCCGGGAAAAGAGTCTGTAATTGAGCAGAACAGAAAAATAAAATAAAAATAAGCCTGTGATCTCTATCCACCTCTGCATTTTGTGCTCTCTGGGGGGTGGGGTGGGGGTGGAGAGAGGCAACATCTGCCACACAAACGTACCCCTTCCTTTTTGCCCTGCTTGGGTCTCCCAACCCCATCCTCCACTAGCCGTCGTGCCAAATGGACAGGCACAGAACAGACACTTGGATTCTTCCCTAAGAAAACCTTCCTTGTGGGTGGGTGGAAGGATTCTTCTAATGTTCCACAATTCTTTGGTCCAGTAGAGCAAAGGAGAGATACCAGATCGCCGACCCAGTGCCAGAATGAGTCATGCTTGTTGGTGCTGGGTGTGTGTGTGTATACGTTTAAAAAATCTGTTCTGGTTTTCTGATGCTCTCACACACTAGCCCACCTACCTACCCACCCGAAAAGCTAGACACACACACACACACACACACACACACACACACCGCAATAGCGTCTCTACACTGGGCATGTCCTGCAACTACCGGAAACTGCACAAGGGCAAACATTTCCTGAGAGGGAGGAAACAGAACGGTGGGGAGCCAGCTGGCGGGTGTGTCTCTGACATGCCACAGTGCCTAGAAAGCCACCAGGGAGAGAGAATCGACACAATCTCTTTTTACGTGCACAGCAGAGGTATTCAGGCCGCTTGGCGGCCGGTGCCTAATAAGCAAGAATCCCCACATCCCCCAAGTGCAGATGCATACAGATCTGCTCTCCTTAGGGGATCAGGCATTAAGCAGCTCTGCCTGCAATCAGGTGTCTGTGCAATTTTGGGACCAGCTGTTTCACTAGGGAAAAGGACTATCTCCGTTATATCCATTGGCAGACGCCTTTGCGTTGACACTGGTAGCCTGAAGAATTTCTTGTTAAAAGGTTCTGCAGCAGAAAGGGCAGTTGGCACCCTTCACCAGCTATCATGACAACCCTGGCAAGGCCCCGCTGCTGCTGTCTGTTCTGGACCCTATTATTATTATTATTATTATTATTATTATTATTATTATTTTCTGACCCAGCTCCCTCAGCAGTGCCCATTGGCTGGATCTATCCACCCTTAAGAGCAAAACAAAAACACCTGTTAATATTTTATTGGTTCTTGTTTCCCCTTAACAAGACAATCAACCAAGAGAAACAATAAAAGGATAATAGCAATTTGTACTGCAGTATCATACAAGTACAAGTTAATGCCACCAGAGCAAAACTAAAAGGGAGTTTGGTGGGCGAGGAACAGGCTGCAGCAATACAGACCCCAAATGCCAGAGGGTTTATTCCTCTTTGCGCCACTTGCTGAGGGTAGCTTTCGCATATGCTGCAAGAGCAGATACGGTAAGTCTTCCAACCACTGGGCAATCAGGGGAGGAAATGCAATTCCCTCCCAGCATTGCAACACTAACTAGCCTTTTGGCCACCGATAGGACGTGCAAAGTCCAACTACACTGCCCTTCTGTCAAGGCGCATAATGTTGGAATATAACTGAGTGTAGCATGGGCACCTGAGAATTTTAGGGATTTTCCAGGTCCAAGTTTATACTGACAACAACTTCCATCCAAATCAGCGCCATTATAGGGCATGGCCAGATCATACGTTTCAGCACAGCCCCGAGGTACCACACCACCAGCAGCTATCTGCGGGTACAAGGTGTCTGTTCAAAGCATCTGTGGGGCTACAGGTTTCCCATTCTCAATGCAGAAGACTGGAAAGCTATCCCCATCAGGCATGTGAGCCCAAACCTTGCTATGTACAAATGCTGGACTGGGGAAGCCAGAGTTCATAATCTTTGCTTAGCCCTTGCTCACCTAGGGCCAGTTACTATTTTAGCCTAACCTACCTCACAGGGTTGCTGGGAAGGTAAATGGAAGGAAACCATGCCCATGGCCCTGAACTTTTTTTTGAAGAGGAGAGAATAAAAGCATTTTTCTTAAAAGGTGCTAGAGATCAGCAAGGGCTTCATTTAAGAGCAGGCTATTTTCTTTTTTAACTGTCATGCATTTTGAGCCTTTGGGGATAGGGTCAATTAGATCCAAACAGGCACCACACAAAAATTCCCATTTATCCTACTGCCCCAGAAGCCTATGAAAATCAAGCAATTTCCAACATGCTGGCTGAGTACTGTTGATTCCCTTCTAAAAGGGAAGGGGACTCCAGAAACAGACCAATGAAGCCTGAATTTATTCTAAGCGCATAATTTGAGTGTTTGTGTGGAAAGAGAAAAGCACAAAGTAAGATCCGCCTTGCCTCTGTTTCTAAAACTTGATGGGAGCTATACTTCCTTGATCCCAAAGAAAGGGCAAATTCAGTCAGGTCAAATTTAGTCATGTCAGCTTCAGCACCTGAGGTCAGCAATTTATTTTTGCAGGATTTTTATACACATTCCCTCACAGGAGCATCAAAGCCCCAGGAATGAAACCTGAGGCAGAAGTTCAGGCGTGGCATTCTTTCAAATCCGCAGTAATTTTCCTAAGAGTCATGTTCACCACACAAAACAGACACAAACACACACGGTTAGGGCCCAAATGAATTTGTGGAAGATCCCTGGCCAGAGAAACGGCCAGATGTATATTCCCCTTAGAATGAGAGGAGGAGGTAGAGGAGGGAAAAAGTTACTCAAGTCTGTTTGTTTTGCTCATACTGAGACATGCCTAGACAGGAGACTGGGGACAGATGCAACGGCGATGGGCACAGGCCCAGCAGCTAGAGAAACAACAGGTTCCCAAGTCTTGGAGAACAAACAGGACTGCCTGTTTGAGGAAGGCAGAAGTGGCCCACAATGCCCCTCCAGAACCAGGCCAGAGTTTCTTCTAGGAATAGAAACCTAGCCACACATGCACTCAGCAGCTTCAGCTCAGTGAGCAGAAAATACACTCGTTTTGTTTGGCTTCTGTTGCCGCAGCTTAGTCAGTCACCATTTTCAACCCTCAGGGCAGCCGTGTTTCCATGGGAGGACAAACAGTACCTGTCTGTACAGTCAAATGACATTCAAGATGGGAGGCAGAGGGGAACCATGAGCTAATACATTTCCTGCCTGTATCCCCAGCACGCAGCAGGCACGAAGCTATCCAGGTATAACTAAATAGGCCCGATTATGCTGCTGGTTCAAAAAAGCATATCGAAAAAGAAGTGACTCTATAAAGACCTTCTTGGGCAATCATTTCATCTAACCATCGCACATTGTAACTCATTTGTTGCTGGAGTCCCAGGCACCTTTCCCCTTTTCTGGACGGTGCTTGTGCCCCGTGACACAACTCCCTTGCTAATGTCATACTTTAAATATTTTTCATCTTTAACGCTTTAGGGGCTGAACATTCCCCTTCTTGTGCCAGCCAGCTGCATGCACACTGAAGAATATCCTTCCTTCCTATGAGTCCCAGGCATTCTGCAAGCCTCTTACTTAATTTCCTTTGTTAAATACAGCTATCCTCTCCAGTACGTATACATACATCCCACATACATTACGAACCTTGGGTTTGTTTTAACTATAGGATGGGGTTAGGTGTGAAACCAGCACCCTTCCCTAACTAGGGTTCGTTTCACCATCTCACCCCAGACACTTGCCAAACTACAAAGGAGGCTGGTTTGTTTGTTTGTTTGTGGGGAAACTTGTGGCTTAACACTACATGCAAACCAGGCCACAACACACCTTAAAAGAAAACAAAAACAAGACTATGGATCTGCACCACTCAGTAGCAACCTGTAGAGGCAAAACATCACACTAAGATGCAGCAAGCTATTTTTCTCCTGCTCCAGAGTGTAGGCCCCAAACCAATGAATTCAAGTTACAAGAAAGGAGAATCCAACTAAACATCAGAAATAACTTTCTGATGGTAAGAGCTGTTCAACCGTGGAACAGACTCCCTCAGAAGGTGGTGGACTCTCCTTCATCGGAGGTCTTTAAGCAGAGGTTGGATGGCTTTCTGTCACGGATGCTATAGTAGAGATTCCTGCATTGTAGGAGGCTGGACTAGATCAGGGTTTCCCAAACTTGGGTCCCCAGGTGTTTTTGGACTACAATTCCCATCATCCCTGACTACTGGTCCTGCTGGCTAGGGATGATGAGAGTTGTAGTCCAACAACAACAGGAGACCCAAGTTTGGGAAACCCTGGACTAGAGTCACTTTCAACTCTACAATTCCATTTATCTATGATTATATCTTTGTGTTGAAGTAGTTCCACTGGGAGTACAGCTGTAAGAGAAATCAAAAGGCATCTTTACCATGCCTTCCAGCCCAGGGTCTCTCAAAGCTGTTCACAGCAAAAATAAGAGAGTACAGTGGTACCTCGAGTTAAGGACTTAATTTGTTCTGGAGGTCCGTTCTTAACCTGAAACTGTTCTTAACCTGAGGTAACACTTTAGCTAGTGGGGCCTCCTGCTACCGCCGCGCAATTTCTGTTCTCATCCTGAAGCAAAGTTCTTAACCTGAGGTACTATTTCTGGGTTAGCGAAGTCTGAAACCTGAAGCGTCTGTAACCCGAGGTACCACTGTACCAACAACGGAAAATCAGGATGCAATCCTGTTGTTCTGAGAAGAATGTCCCACAGGCTAAAAGGAAAACCAGGTTTTCCTTTCCACCAATGGAGAAGGAGTCCTGCTGCATCCAAAGCCCTCTCATTCCACCAGGAAGAAAACTGAAGTGGAGGAGGGGGACCTGAAAAAAACTGAATGAAACCCACCCCACTAACAACAGCCCAGCAGGCCATGAGCGTAGCCAGGAATTTTGTTGGGGGGGGGGGGCAGAACGTCAGTTTGGTACCTATTTTTATTTAGGGGGCGGTTGCCCCCCCTTGGCTACACCAATGTAGCAGGCCTTTAGATTTGGCAGTTTGCTTTGGAGTCTTCCTTTCCAGGACCCATCGGGGCCTCGCTCTATAAAATGAACAAGGAAGGACATACAGGAAAACCCCACTCCCATTTTAAGCACAACCCTGCCAAAATAAATCAACTTTTTGCCACTCCACAGAAGGCCAAGCGCCACAGAGCCAAGTGGACCTCTCTTGGGAGGCAATCTATAGCTTAGGTGCATTTTCTTTAATCCTCTGGATTCACTGCTCCTGATTGAGCAATTTTAACTGGCAAGCAGGCCACAGAAATAGTTAGCAAGGCACCCCAGGGTTTCCCTCCCACAAAAAAACGTGATCAGGGTGGCCATGTGCCCTACTTTAGAGAGGACAGTGCTTTCTTTCAAGGGCTGCCTGGCCCAAGTCCAGTTTAAACGATAAAGAACACTAGATAGCTCCGTCAGTAGAGCGCAAGACTCTTAATCTCAGGGCCATAGGCTGAAGCCCCACTGGGCAAAAGATTCCTGCATTGCAGGGGGTTGGACTAGATGACCCCGCGGTCCCTTCCAACTCTATGAAGCTATGAAAAGGAGAGCAACAGAGCAGGGACCTTGAAAGTTCCCCCTCAACAGTTGGCAGCACCTGGACTGTAGACTGAGCAGGCACACAGGTTGCCTCAGTAACAGTCTTCCCCACTACAGCAAAGTACATTTTTTAAAATTTCTATTTAAATTACACCACTTATTTCTAAATTTGCACCTACCCATTTCAAAGAGCACATGGAAATTTTTTACACGGACATGTGCTCACTATTTTTGGTGATGTGTTCAGTGGTTAGCCCAAATCAGAGTGTATCAATCGTTGTGTTGATTGTCAGCGCTGGGGATGAACCATCCCATTTTTGCAAAGCTTTTCCCCTCCGCTATCTAAATGCATGTAATGTATCCCCTCTGAACATCTTGCTGCTTTGGTAAAGGAAAGGGTTAACACTGAAAGCTCAGCAAGAGTTAATAATGAAAGCTCAGCCTTCTATTTGCCTCATCCAGGACCTTTCTTACCCTGGAGCAGGGAATGTCACTAAGACAAAGTTTGAGAACGCCCATCTGCATGTAAAGTTACTTCTAATATTTCTATTACCCATTTGTGGGCGAATTCAATTTTAAGTCGCTTTGAAACCTCATCTTGGCTGGTGCAAAATTGGGGTATAAGTGAATAAATAAATAAATCCACCATTTAGGACCTCCATACACACTGCCCAGGCTTGCACCCCAATTGGGTGCTGCTAACACAGTGGTTTTAGAAGGAAACAAACCAACATTTGTCTGTGAATGTAGTCTTAGAATTATGAACAAGCCCCAAAGAAGCATACAGTCAGTCTCCTCCCCAACATCCCATCTGAAACTCAGGACACACTTTTAACAACAATACCATCTTTGCACACAGAGAGGAGTTTTTTTGGTGGCTGTCCCACAGGAACTTGACTCCTTCAACCCCTCTAGATGGAGAATCTTGCAGAAGTGTCAAAAGTCCTCTTTGGGCTCAACTTGCACAGTTAATTAAGACAGAAGAGGAATGGTATTTTCTTCTTCTTTAGCCAACCTGATTCTTTTTTTTAATCATTATCTGCCCCAAGCCCTTCAGACGGGCTTGGCTATCCATCTAAATAAACAAGAGAGAGAGGGAGGGAGAGTCCTTTGAGGAGGACTGATAGGTCAGAGACAGCAGGAACGTGGGCGGGAGAAAAGCCGGCTCACTGTGAATCAGCAGAAACAGGTTGCTAAGGCCATCCATGTTGCCCTCTCCACGGTGCAGTCCACCAGTACCGAAGGTTGAAGCAGACTGCTGCAAAGTAGCCAGGCATGCAAGCCCCCCCCCGCCCCCCCCTGTGCACAAAGCAGGGCTGACGGACAAGCCACAAGGTAAACCAGGACAGGTAAAGGAAAACACGAGAAGATGTGGTGTGTCAGGGTTTGCGCAGATGGGAGACGGATGAGATTCCCCAGCCAATGACAGCAGAGGAGTCAAGATGTTCTGGAAGAAGAAGCAGCACAAAACACTCAAAGCACTGCAATACAGAGAGAGAGTCCCTGGCTTTGATTCTGGGCTTATACTCAGAGGTATGGGCGCACTGTACGTGCCAGAGGAAATGGCACGGTAAGCCAACCTTTCCCAAACTGGCGTGTGCAGCCTCCACCCATGGTGTTTTGGACGTCGATGCCCATCAGCACAGCCAATGGCCAGGAAACATGGGAGTTGGGAATCCAGGAATATTTGGAAGGTATCACATTGGAGACGCCTTTGGTACAGGAAAGCCAGGTGCTCCAGTGCACGTCAGGTGCAGCCAAGGTATACTTCCAGAATCAACAGGGAACAGAGGACACAAAATGAATCATGTGTTCAGCCTCCCCACCCCACACACTGGGAAGAAAAGAAGGAAGAAAGGAGACTGGAAACGAGAGCTAAAGCAAGGGGTGGTTGGCTAGTGAGGCGTTGAAATCAAACTCTGAATGAGGAAGTCCTCTGTTCACAATCAGTGCTGTGTCCAGATTTTGGACAGCTTGGGCAAAACATCCTCCATGGGCCTTTATCCACCAATGGGACCACCTGTTCTCCCCTGCCACTGTCACAATCTGCTCACTTGTCAGAAAAAGAGTGGTCGCTGAGGGGGAGGGAAAGACAACACACAATGGGGTGAGGAGTGGATCTTGGAAGCCCCCCGTCCGTGCGGACCCTGACACTAGCCTTTGCTTGATTCTCTCCCCTGAACTTTCTAGGTGGCCATAGGTAAGACAATATCTTTCAAGCTGAAATTCTCAATTCATGTACCAGAGAGTAAGCTCCACTGGACACAGTGGAATTGGCTTCCTTGTACATTTGTAAAATTTGTGCTGTCAGGCATGTTCCCCACCTCAATCTGCAGTATGGGGATGACGACACTGATCTACCCTAGAGTTTTCGTGAAAATTAGTGCATGTTCCATACGCTACACAGATGCTAAGGTTTTTAATTTTTTTAAAAAATAGTTCTATAATACTAGAAAGAGTCAGGGCTTTTCTGTACAACTAAGGAATGCCGACCACAACCACATTTCAACCTCTGTGAAATACTCCTGTATTATAGTAGCACCACATTGTATCCCAGTGGGTAAGGATGAGAAGAAGCCTTGCAGCAGAGGAAGCTTCTTGCAGGGGCTGGGCTATCCTCACTGCAACCTTCTGCCCCCCCCCCCCCCAATTTTAAAGTGTAAATAAATGTGTGCTCCAGCACAAAGGAGAGGGAAGGGTGGAAAAGGAAATGCCAGGCTCAGATATCTTTATAATGTAGTTCAATGTGCAGATTATAATGTTGCTTAAAGTTGCAGCTAGTACAAAGTATGGTGGCTTAACAGCTCACAGGGGTGGAATATCAACGTCATGTTACATCACTGCTGAAAGAATTGCACTAGCTCTCAATTAGCCACCAAAGTAGGTGCAAGGTGCTGGCACTGATATACAAAGCCCTATTCAGCTTGAAGCTGGGAACTAGGAAAGCTAAAAGACGGTCTACCCCTTACATTCCCAACTGATCATCACTCTGTTTTGCAATCATCTGGAGGTGCATGCCTGGGAATCATTGGCTCTGGACTGTTTTCACACACTAATACCCCATCCTGTAGAATGCTATCCATTATATTTTATCCACACAATTGGAATGAATTTCTGGAACCGAATTGCTTTTTCTCTGCAGCCTGAGCAGAGCAGGAACAATCACCATTAAGAAGTGGTCATAATAGGCCAATACATATGGGACTGTCCTTGGATCGAACAACTTTTCCTTAACTTCTCAAAGCTCTTAACCTAGCTCAAGGTTGTCATCTGAACTAGCCAGATGTTTAACTAAGAATCAATCACAGTCAGCCCATCATTTGAAAAATAAGACTTTAGAGCCGTCTTGCCCCAAAATGGCAAACAGATATTACGTTTTGGTGATTGATACCTTGGTTTAAGGAGTTATTTGGCACCTACTGGTAGTTTATAAACCTGCATTTCTAACACCGCCTACTTTACTCAAACCTCTGCTGCTGTTTAAACCTGCATTTTCCCTCTCATTTAACAGAAGTGCAGCTATCCCCACCCCATATATATTGTCTCACCCTTTCATGAACTTGAGAGAATTTATCTTTAAGGAAGTTCACGGAGTGCTGCAGGCCACTGTGTGTGTGACGGAGAGGGGGGCAGTGATTTGTGCCAGACATCACTAATTGCATCATAGGGAATGTCCAACAAGTCTCCATGACACTTGTGCAACCACATTCCATGAAGCAAGCAGAGTAGGTGGAAGGGGGAGGAGGACTAGGGGGAAGTACTGCTCTCCTCACCTCGCTGGAACATAAAGAACAGATGGGTAGATGGCATACAACTAACTAGTAAACAGAATAACAATTAATAAAGCCATTCATTGGAAAGGCTTAGAAGCGCACAGCAGCCTGAAAGGTTTGTAGCAAGCGAGTGCCCTTGGTGTTATACTTCTCAGGATTAGGAAACTAAAGACAAATAAGAGGTGTATGTTAGGATAGGGTTGCCATACGTCTGGGAATTCCTGGACATGTCCTCTTTTGGCAGTCCTATAATCCAGGGGCAATTTTACATTTGAAAGCAAATGTACTGGATCTTGGACTTTAAAATTTGTGTGTATGCGGGTGGCTGTGGTTCAGGCTCTGGCAGTTGCCCTAAAAAAACTCAACAACCTTTTGTGTCCAGATTTTTGCCTCTTGAAATATGGCAACCCTATGTTAGGATATTTAAATAGGTCTATGGGCCTGTGATCAATCTCCTGCTCTCTTTTGGAGGGCAGCTTCTTTCCACTCTTCTTATGTTTGAGGAAGGAGGCTGCAAACAGCTAGGAGAGAAAAGGGATTACTCTGAAATATAAACATCTGTTTACCTTAACTTGCCAATTTAGTACACACATCAGCAACCCTCTGTGCAATGAAGCACTGTAACTGAAACCCAAGTTAGCTCCATAGAATTCAATGGGACTGCTGGCCTCAACACAGCTTGAGAGATGGTTTGCAACAGGGCATTTGCATATTTCTGTGTACTTTTCTCTGTCCCCGAAGAGCATGTTAATTGAACTTGAAAGCAAAAGCGAGATGCAGACAAGGTGGAGAAGAACAGCACAACCCAAAGACCTTTAAGTGCTGCATTCGACATTTGAGTAGACCCATTAAAAATAATGGATATTATTAACTTAGCGTCACCGATCATAATGGGTCTACTTTGAGATGGGCTGTGTACACGGCATACATTTAAAGCACATTCCTTAATGTATGGTGTGTACACAGCCTAGAATCCCAAGGCTACAATCCTAAACCCATTTATTGGGGAATAGGCCCCACTGAGCACTGTGCAACTGAGGAATCGCGCACAGGATCGAACTGCAAGGGGACTCACAGAAATGACATCATCACCGGGTGACTAAGGAATAGCAGCACAAATGCATAATAAGATTCAGCAGGAACATGGGTTTGAAGTCAAGACAGTAGAAATGGATGCAGCATGATGGCCAGAGGCAAGAGAGGACAGAGCCCTTATGCTGAATCAGATGACTGGCCCTTCTAGCGCCCACACAATGATTGACAGCAGCTTGCCACGTTTTCAGAAATGGAGTATTCCCCAGCCATACCTGGCGTCGCCGTGGATGACCTGGGACCTTTTGTATGCAAAGCAGTTGATCTACCACAGAGCTTTGGCTGTCCCGTGTCCTCTTTTTCCACTTGGCCCCCTAATGTGTGCAATACCAACCAGCCACAATACTCATAAGCAACCAATCCTTGTCCGACCACAACTCCAGAAGAATCCAACACCTTCAATAACTGGCATAGGGGCTCCAGACAACTCAGTGGGTGGCGGCAGAGATCAAAATAAAAACTCTCACCCCATTTTGCATCAGGTTCACTGAGCCTACCACCGTCTCTACATAAACTCTGCAGCGTAAGCTTCAAAGCCTTTCAAATTTGGGAGTTGCCAACTCATCTCCTAGAGGAGTTAAGGCAGGAGATAGTCCTTATATTTTGCCTGCTGGCACAAATCATTATTATGGCAATAATTTAAGTGAAGCATTCCAAGATGTGCGCTGTCGTAGACCTGGCATCCAACTTCTAATGAAGCTTACTCACCTCACTAGAGAGTTGCTACTTCAAAATTAGCCGATACTTCTCAATGCTGTGTGTGCTATTTTGAAAGCAGAGGCGGCTTATAATTGCATATGCATAAACATCTGCAGACAGCTGAACTCCAGCATAATAGTATCAAATGCTCAGGATAGTTCCTCGTAAGACACCAAGTTGTGCTTTCTAAGCCAACAAGAAACAGAAGGTTTACATTCCCACTTTCCCCACCAAGCAGCAACTTATTGAAACCCCTTCATAACCGATGTTGCTAGACTACAACTCCCATAAACCCTGACCATTGGCTGTGCTGGCGGGGGCTGATGGGAATTGGGGGTACAACAACATCTGCAGGGAGGTGGATTTGCCAGCGCTGCCTTATATACCCAGAATGGCTTCCCCACTGTGTTCTCCAAATCAACGTCCATCAAGTTTCAAGAACTACCCGTGTCAGGAACTATGTCAAATGGAGGCCAAAACATTGCAAACTGTTTTCCAAAGCTTGGATTCGCTCAGATCAACACTGCATGAAATCAGTGTGGTAGAAAAGGGACCCGTGTCAATTATCTGTTATTTGTGAGCAGACTCAGTGTACATCGCTCTTTCGTAAGTAGTGTGTGCAATTAGACAGGATCCTGCTTCCAATCTAAATGTTGACAAAAGAGGAGGGAGAAAAGGGAGGATACAAATGGATTAATGTGATCAAGTGCTAATGTGGATCTGTTTGGTATCAGCCTATATTATAGAATATGGTATGTAATGGAACATAATTCCAAAGGGCATTAGCCAGGCACCATCTCTGTCTCTCTGGTGCCTACGGAACACCTTCATCTTTAAACAAGCCTTTCAAGTGGCTTTCTTTATCCTAGTCTGCATCTGTATTGGAACTATATTTAACTGTTTTTTTACGTGAAATGGTTTGACGTATGGAACTGTTTTTAAACTTTTCTGCTTGCAACTGTTTCATTTTGTAATTGTATGTTTTATTTCTGCAACCCGCCTTGGGACCTTCTGATAAAGGGTAGGTGAGAAATCAAAATAAATAAAAATAGTCTGAGGGCTGGCTCAGTCATTACAGCATGAGACTCTTCATTTCAGGGTTATGGTTTCAAGTCTCACATTGGCCAAAAAGATTCCTGCACTAGATTACACTTGTGGTGCCTCCCAACTCTACGATTCTATGATTCTACTGTTGACTTGTTGCCAACATAACCTTAGTTCAATATGACCTAAAGCTGATTTTAGGTCAGAGAGAACCAGGTATCTGATAGGATTCTGATCATTCTGAATTTAGGAGATGAGGGTTACTAGGTCTCTCTGGGTACTATTGCAAGATTGCCCCAGGTCAACAGGTGCTGCTATATAAATTCATGACCTATGGATCAAAAGACCATACATTTTATGATCCATGAACCAAATTTACATCTAAATCAAAAAAATGGACATAGTGATTTGAGGATATTGTGATGTGGTATGGAGACATCTATAAGAAAGAGCGAATTATTTATTCAGAGAATAGAAATTAAGCAAAGTTATCTGAAAGAAGCCAGCTCAGCTTTAACGATAGCAGCTAAGATCTCTGTCTCTATGTTGGTCTGAACTTTCACTTTCCATTAGGATGGAATCCAGTGTTGCAACAGTCTCATGCCTATAGGGGTGGCTAACCTGTAGTCCTTCATATTTTTTAGACTTCTTCATCCATAATCCCTGGCCACTGGCCATGCTTGCTGGGGATGATGGGCACTGGAGTCCAAAAACATCTGAAAGACCACACAGGTTTCCCGTCTTTGTGCTACATATTAGAGGAGGGCTGACACATACTAGCGTATTATCTGTGGCAGGCAGAAGAGAAGAGAAAGGAAACTCTGAACCCGAGTGGTATTTAAAGATTAGTTTTCCCACCCTTCTACGCTTCTCCCCTTTTCATATAAAATACAGTTTAGTCTGCTTAATTCCATGTCAATTTAAAATTAATGTGAGACAGGACAGGGTAACAGCCACGTGAAAATGACAAAGACTCACTAGGGTGAATGAAGATGGCAGCAAGTCCCTCAGGTTCAGAGGGAGCCCGGCTACACCCAGGCTTCACAACTCAAATTTGCAGACCAGCAATTTAAATGCTGGCTCAGCTTTCCGTCTTGCTTTAGGTGACCTGTTCAGCTTTTTGTTATTTGGACACATGAATTTATACTTTTTTACCTTTGTCTATGCAGATTTTTGCAGCCATCATGGGGGACTAGCCACTCATTTATTTTTTATATAAGAAAATATTTACACTCCACTTTTCTTATATCATGGAGTCTACGGCAGCACACAAGTGGTTCACAGGAAGTCACTCAACCAGGCACTGATCAGATCCGGACCGACTTGGCTTCAGTCAAGTAGCTGCCTCCTATAACTTCAGACAAGACAGCAGTAGCCAGCTTGCAAACCCACCCAGAAAGCCTGACTCTGGACATCTGAATTAGGTCACTGACTGCTCTGAGATCTTGTGATGAAGGGTGGTATATGAATCTAAATAATAATAATAATAATAATAATAATAATAATAATAGGGAGGAGGAGGAGGAGATAGTAGTGGGTTCCTGCCCCTTTAATAGTTGTGTATTCCTGTCTAGTCCTGTCCTTCTTTATATCTGACAGCTCAAGTTTGAACTCAAGATAGAGAGGCTGCTTCTAAACTGGTCCTTTGACTTGATACCTTTCACATGTCATGAGTCACAGTCATCCCAAACAAAAACCTACTAATGCTAACAGCCTAGTTTTCCTTGGAACAGAGCCTCATTGATTGCAGGTGAAACTGCAGCCCATTTACTCACGTTTACTCAGAACCTGCTCCATCAAGTTCAATGGCATTTACTTCCCAGTAGATCTGAATGGGATGGCAACCCTAAGAATAGCATGGCAAATCACACCTGCTAAAATCCCTTCTTCTACACAACTATTAAAGGTGCAGGATTCAGCACATCAGCTTTTTTCTTCTTCATCTGGCCACCCTATCTAGGAAATGCACTTAGGATCAATGTGCCAGTTTTCTATTTATTTAATAGAGACCACCTTTCAGCAAAGCCTCCAAGGCAATTTACAATAACACAATAAAATACAAATCTCATGTGATAAAGAGCAGCACCTTTTAAAAAAACGAAGCAACATTATACACTCCTAAGCAGTGTAGGGTTTAGAAGATACGCACAAGTCCTTTGAATTGTCCCCTATTCCAGCAACATCTTCCCTTCCTCATTCATGCTACGGGAACCAAAACAATACTTTGGCTTGGGGAGGGGGAACCACAGGTATGGCATCACATGAATGCGCGGGAGCCCATGTACAGTTAAAGTATCATCATCAGGATTTGCAGTTATGCAAATAAACAATGTGTGACAGCTGAACAAGTCCAGACATTCAGATATATACCACAGCACACGAAGGTTCCCTCAGCAGAGAGAGGGGTGGGGCCAGAGAACATGTTTCATAGGCCAAGAGGTACATTTCCCAACATCTCCAAATAAAAACCTGCAGGTAACAATGACAGCTGCTGCCATTCAGTGTCTGTCTGTGTGTGTAGACAACACTGGTTTAGACCAACCAATGGTTTGGATTGGAATAATTCAAAGTTGGAAGTTTTGTATTCTCGGTTTATTCTGTCCCAATAGTGGAGGTGGCAAACTTTTGGCCTTCCAGATTTTCCTCAGTGACAACCCCCATCAGCCTGAGCAAGCACAGCCAAAGGCCAGAGATGATGGGAGGTGTCTTATAGCAATGTGGGGGGGGGGAGGCAAAGGTTCCCCACACCTGCCCCACAGAGTCCAAAAACAAGTCACATACCACCCTCTTGAATGTTCCATGTCCCCTCTTCCTCCCTGTCAAATGCTTCTCTAGGGAAAGATACTCATCTTTCTGTTTCTCTTTGAAGTGCTGAATATCTTGATGGTGCTAAAGATAATATCAGCCAACTCTGACCAATGCTTTGCTCTTTCTAGCTCGCCTGGACTCTTCCCACCTGCATTTGAGAGAAACCTGCTGCAGTGTAGCTGCATGTGATCTGTGTATGCATGCAGGAGGACACGTTCAGAGGTCACAGTTACTTTTGGTGTGACCAGCGTTGGCTTGGGGGGCTTTCAGAGGGTTGGCCAACCTTGAAAGTAGCTGAGGAAAAGGTTAGCAAAGTTCTGCTGCAGCACACGTTATCTTCAGAAACAACAAGCACCAGATTTTCTGTGCACAGAAAGCATTACTAAATGTAGGCCTAATGAAAGAATTTCCTAAGCAGAGCAATAACTAGCCTGTGGACCAAGCCATTAGTTGGAGAATTACATTCCTCAGAAGCCATAAACATGCATCAAAGAGTTTATAGCAGGCCAGAGATGGAACCACAGAGTACTTGTCCGTGGCAAAAGTTTCTGTGAAAACCGCAACAGCTAATTGGGCTCCCAAAATATTGTTATTCTTACTTACTCTTCGATATTCATTTAAAAAAAATTATACTATGCAGGCATTCATATAGAAACATCACACCCTCTTTATAAAAAGCAGAAAATACAGTTTTCCACTTATATGTTAAATATGTGCACTATGTTTACAGTGGGTAACTTTGTATACCCTGATGGGCGAGGTATAAATAACATTATTATTATTATCATTATTATTATTTAAAAGCACCTTACAGACTTAGAAATTCTGACCTGTGAGTCCCTGAACTTGAATGTGCCAAACAACTGACCATTGACTACGTGCCTTGAATGATGTTGTTTTCCTGTTTTTATACTAAATGAATCAAAATAAAAATTAGCAGCCAGGGAATTATCATTATTTTTGTTGCCTGCCTGGAGGGAGGTGGTCTATTTTGTTGTTTACTGTATCATCGCTTAAGAAAACTGAAACAATACATTACAAAGAATCAAAGAATTGTAGAGTTGGAAGAGACCCCACGAGTAATCTAGCCCAACCCTCTTCAGTGCAGGACTCACTTGTTTTTACAGTTTTCTCACAAGTGATCGTTATCTTTTGAGATCTTTGCCTGTTTTCTCACCCCCTGGATTTAGTAATTTTCCTAACTATGATATCTATTGGGTAACCTTTGCCTTTCAACCTACAGTTTTCCCCTCTTCTTTCAACTGCCCCCTTTACCTTCTATTCTCTTTTCTTTCTCTGAAGCGTTTTATCTGTCACCTACATGTACAGCCACCACCCAACTCACTGGAAAAATTGTAGCTGTTTCGGCTGGACAGGCTCAGGTAGGTCTTTTCTGCAGTGTGTGGCAAGACTACACAATGGGATACAGATTAAAAATAATATTTTTAAGAAAATGCCCAAAGAGAATCAAATTACTAGTCAAATAATATAAAGTGGGTAGTGTCAAATAATAGAGAACTGGTTACTCTCAAGCTCATGCTAGATGCTAGTAGGGTGGCCAGATGCAACAGGGGGCAGTGACTCCTGCTTCTTTCACAGTTGCATAGAAGATGGAATATCAGTAGGTGTAGCTTGCAAGACAGGTTTCCTGGTGCCCACCTGCCACCTACTCTGGCATTGTTGAGGCACTGGGCGAAAACCACATTATTCTCTTGCAGCCTCTTGGGTTCCAAAATTATTCTTAAAATTGACAGGGCTGTTTTGCTTCTGCTCTCTCTCCCCCCCCCCATTGTTTGAGCTTTGTAACAGATGCTCATTTTGTTGCTTTCAAACAACTGGCAATGTTTTATATCATATTTTACATACCTGCAGCCCTCCAGCCGTTGTTGGAAAAACCTTGATCATCCCTAACCGTTGGTGTGGATAGGAACTGGAGTTAAGAGTCCTTTAAAAATCTGGAAGGCCACAGGTTTCTCCTTTGTGATCTCTCTCTCTCTATATATATATCTCGGCAGTTTTCGAGGGAGGGGGGATTCCTTCCTGATCCCAAATAGTTAGTCAGGACTCCCCAGGCATAAAGGATACTCACAGCCACCCAGCCTTATTTTAGAGAGAACATTCACACAGCACTGCTCCAGACCAGAGTACAGTACTCCCGTTTTATTTTTGTCCTTAAAAAATGCTGACCTGGAAACTCTCCTGTGAAGTTTCCCAAAGCCCCCCTCCGTGTTCCCATTCCTTGACCTCTTGTCACCAGACTCCCAGCCCCCTTCCGGAGGGTCAGGGAACCTGCTTGGGGAATCCCTCCTCCTCTACACGTCTCCCCCGGCCCGCCAAAGCCAATACGCCGTTCTCTGAAAATAATAACTGGCTTTTTTTTAACTACGCGGTATGGCGTGGGGGCGTGGGGGGGGGGAGAGAGTAAACAACCCTAAAACAGAAGTCAGACCTACACATAACCAGAGGATTTTCTGGCGGAGACCGCCCTGCCACCCCGAAACCCACCATCAGATCCCAGATCACGTCCGTGCCAGACAGACATCTTTACATGTGACCAAGGCCGCAGCACGTGCATACACATGGTTAATATGAACTATGAGTAACTCCAATGTTATTAAGCGATTTCCTGCCTTTTTGCAGCTGTCTCGGCTCCCTCGCAACTGCGTGGATCGAAGACGGAGACCCAGAAAAGGGGGGAGCCCACATCCTTCTTGGATCGGGCTCCTATCCATACCCCCACAGACGAAAACTAAGCTCGTGGGCAGAAAACGCTGCCTAAAAGAGCCTCGCGAGTGGATAATGGCTCTCGCTCTCGTGTCCTGGAGGAAATCGACACCAGCAGCCACTCCTCGCCACCGAAAATAAAGCCACGGAACGCGGTTTTCCGCCCAGCCGTCAGCCTCGGTGCGCCCGCGGTGTGCGCAAGGCGCCCCGGAGCCCCGGCGAGGAAGGCGCCCGGGCGCCCAGAAGCAGAAAGAGCCCCCCCGCCTCGTCCTCTGACGTCTCTAAGTTTCCCTACTACAGAGTTGCAAACGCGCCGTCCACTTACTTCGCCCGAACGCCCCGAGTCCGCCTTTTGTTCGCTGCCCTTCTCTTTCCCTTCTCGCCTTCCTTGGGGAGCCCCCGCGTTTTTCTCGCCGATTCGGCTCTCCAAATCTCCTTGTTTATTTCTGTAAACGAAGTTGTTGTTTTCCGAGGAGAAGGGCTGAGCTGGGCTCTGCGCTGCGATCTGCTGAGTTGTAATATGAGTTTCCTGGAATTACTCACTCACAGGATTCTTTTCATTCATAAAAACACAGTCATGCGATGACATCATTCTTTCCCCTCCCTCCCCATCTTAGTGAAGGGCACAGGCAGGAGAGAGGTGAAAGGAAGCTGCCATCTTGGTGCTGGGCATTTCGTCTTAAAGGGACCCGCGCCTAAATCTTTTCCTGGTGCTAGTGCTCCTGTTCCAGAATTAACAGTTAAATCGCCATCTGCACCCCGATACAAACAAATGAATTGTTTCTGAGGAAAGAGGGAGCTACTGAAAGTCAGGAGGCAAAAATGCCAGCTTCAGCTATACTACTATTTTTGTACACCTTATTTTGAAAAAGTTCCTTGTTTCTGAACACCATAACTCACAACTTCCTAAATCAGCCTTTAACCCTAGGGTGGGAAACCTGCTGCCCTCCAGACGTTGTTGGACCCAAGCTGCCACGAGCCTCAGCCAGCATGGCCCAAAGTGTATCACATTCCTGCTTTAACAACTTGCGATGGGCCGAAAATCATCAGGTAGCGCTCATGATGTGAAAACTTGGATTAATTTCTGGCTGCTCCACAGGCCTGCAAACACATTCCGAGACCACTGCTGTTTCTCTTGTAAATCCTTCTTAGTGATGGTCTGCCTGGTCCTGCTCCCTTCCTGTTAAATTTTGCTACAGCTTTCAGTTTGCCAAGTGAGAAAGAACACACCTCTTCAAGTGAGATAGAGCAGGAAAAGAAGAGAGAGAGAAATACTGTACAGTGGTACCTCGGGTTAAGTACTTAATTCGTTCCGGAGGTCCGCACTTAACCTGAAACTGTTCTTAACCTGAAGCACCACTTTAGCTAATGGGGCCTCCTGCTGCTGCTGCCGCGCCGCCGGAGCACGATTTCTGTTCTCATCCTGAAGCAAAGTTCTTAACCTGAAGCACTATTTCTGGGCTAGCGGAGTCTGTAACCTGAAACGTATGTAACCCGAGGTACCACCGTAGTATATTGTTGTTCACTCACCACACTTCCCTAAGCTATGAGGAGCTCAAGGAGCAGTGCCAAAGTTTCCTTTAGATGAGAGCCCACTGGAGACGTACTTGATGTCCGCTTTATTTACAAATATACAAGTAGAACCTATTGGAAGAAAGAAATACAGCTGTCCGACAGCAGGCAGCAAATCTGCTGACCTCTGCATCAGATTCCTAGAGAGAGCAGCTGCGGCAGCCAGCTCCAAAGCTGCCTCCCATCCAAACTCTTGGCTCTGTTCTCTAAATTCAGACTGTAAAAATGGAGAGAGTTGATCTTAGACCCCCTGCCCTCTTACAGGTGAATTGCCCATGCCAGAAATCACCTTTACCATTATTTTGTCCTAGCTGCTCTGACTACATCCACACCATATATTTAAACCACATGACACGCCCCCCCAATTCCTGAATCCCAGGAACTGTAGTTCGTTAAGCGTGCTCAGAATTGTAGCTCTGTGAGGGGTAAACTTCAGTACCCAGGATTCTCTGGGGAAAACCACATCCGTTAATGTATGGGATGAGTGAGCCCTCTGCCAGAATGACCAAACTGACAATAGTATGTTAAATCATACAACTGAATTTAATACAGTCATAGACCAACTGTTTATTTTAAAAAGCAGCAGCGGCAAGTTGGATAATTATTGGAAGGTAAATCTACAGTGGATATGTTTAAGCCACTTTTAAGAGTGCCAGTGTAGAGTTTGGAGTTTGGCAGGGAGCAGCTCTCCTGGGTTTTACAAAAGGGTTGTTTCCAGCCCTACCTGGAAATACCAGGGACTTCTGTATACGACACATGTGCTCTCCCACAGAACTACAGAACTTCCCCCAATGCCATTAGGGTGAACAGATGCAAAAGAGGACAGGGCTGCTGCACCTTTGATAGCTTGTTCCACAATGTCAACATAAAAGTAAAGGGACCCCTGACCATTAGGTCCAGTCGTGGATGACTCTGGGGTTGCGGCGCTCATCTCGCTTTATTGGTCAAGGGAGCTGGCGTACAGTTTCCGTGGCCAGCATAGTCATGTGGCCAGCATGACCAAGCTGCTTCTGGTGAACCATAGCAATGCACGGAAACACTGTTTACCTTCCCTCCAGAGCGGTACCTAATTATCTACTTCTACTTCATGCTTTTGAACTGCTAGGTTGGCAGGTGCAGGGACCAAACAACGGGAGCTCACCCCATCGCGGGGATTCAAACCACGGCCTTCTGATTGGCAAGCCCTAGCACTGTGCAGTAAAAGGATTTCCAGTACTTATTCCTAAAAGATTTGTACGAGTCATGCCCTGATATTGTCTCAGAACCCCTTTAACTTCCTAAATATTTCAGTTTCTGAGGATAATAAGACTTCAGATCACTGCTTTCATCAGTGTTCTCTTGGGGGAGGAAGAGGATTAAAGTAAGAGTTCATTCTGCTAGTCTCTCATACCCTCACCAAATGACAACCCAGGATTTGGAAGCAGGAATGGAGCAGTGGCTATCTGGGCAGACATCTGGTCTCCTAAACCTGCTTGCACCCGGGTCTGCCTCACCTATGGACAGCCCTTTAAAAAATGCCTGATTTGAAACCAGCCCAACCAGTTCTGTTGACTGATAGCAAGCCAGGTAATTTGTTTTTTTTTTAAGCATCACTCTTACACAACAGGAACATTCATTTTGAGATATGAATGCATATGCAAGTGAGCATTGGCTTATTTTGTAGATAGGGGAGATCTCAGCTGCAAATCTTGGCTGCAACTTGACAGACCAGCTGCAGCCAGAGGCATGTGCACTAATTAGTTATTGTTATTAATAATACTTACATAATTATTTAAATGTATACAATTGTCTATCAATAAATATTTACTGGGCGGCATATATCAAAAAACTGGAGTGCAAGTAATCTTAGTGACTTGACACTAATAACTAAAGTGAATTAGAATGACATGCCACATTTAATCAAGTGCCAAATATGCGTTAAAAAGTCTTGCCCCTTTTACAACACTTTAACCAACCCAATTATTACTACTATTATTAATCAAACTTCTATACAAAACTTCATCCAAAGATCACAGGGTGGTTTACAACATAAAAATACAAAATGAAAACACAAAATACATACCATAACAACCACCACCACCAATAACCCCCTCTCACAGCACTTTTAAAAGGCCATCGATTGTTTAATAAGTTATATAGTTACCATATTTTTCGCTCTATAAGATGCACCAGACCACAAGACGCCCTAGTTTTTGGAGGAGGAAAACAAGAAAAAAAATATTATGAATCTCAGAAACCAGAACAAGAAGAGGGATCGTTGCGCAGTGAAAGCAGCGATCCCTCTTACTGTTCTGGCTTCTGGGATAGCTGCACAGCCTGCATTCGCTCCATAAGACACACACACATTTCTCCTTAACTTTTAGGAGGGAAAAAGTGAGTCTTATACAGTGGTGCCTCGCAAGACGAAATTAATCCATTCCGCGAGTCTCTTCGTCTTGCGGTTTTTTCGTCTTGCGAAGCACGGCTATTAGCGGCTTAGCGGCTTTAAGAAAAAGGAAACAAACTCGCAAGAACTCGCAAGACGTTTCGTCTTGCGAAGCAAGCCCATAGGGAAATTCGTCTTGCGGAACGACTCAAAAAACGGAAAACTCTTTCGTCTTGCGCGTTTTTCGTCTTGCGAGGCATTCGTCTTGCGAGGTACCACTGTAGAGCAAAAAATATAGTACTACATAACACAGATTAGAGCCAAATACACTCTACTGCCACCTGCCTCTTGGTCCTTTTCTGGTCTCTGATGCAGAAGTGAAAAGTCTCCAGGTAAAGTCAACTAGTGTGGAAGGTGGAAGAGCAGGTAGGTCTCTTTCCCTCTCCCCCAGTCTCTCACTAGTGCCTGCAAATGCCTTCTCCTTCTTTCCTGGGCACGCTGCCAAGAACAGTTTGCACTGGTTCAAAATGTATTGCTCTGGGGAGCCCCCCTGGAGTGAGTGCTTTGCTGAGAGGCAGTGACTTCTGGAACTATGACCACCAACCACCCCATGGACCACAACTAAGTGCACAGCTTGTTCATTGTAAGCTGGTGTGCGCCATCCTAGTATAGGTTAATGAAACTTCCAGGTTTTCAGTGGATAAAATACTGGGTAAAAAGGACTTCAGTATTTTAAAAAAAACCCACCTTGTTTATTATCATTTTATACTGCTGAAAGACTTTGCTGTTAAGTATGCAGCTTTCAAATTACCTCAGGATAGCAGAAAGAGCAAAGGGTGCTTAAATGTAAACATCTTTATTTTAAAAGGTTTCTTTATTATTTTTTATTATTATTATTTAAATGTCTATACCACCCTTCTTCTGAACATCACAAGGCAGTTTGCAATCTTCTGATTTTCACGGTAGGAAAAAAATTGCAGACATAAATTCACCTGGTCTCTGCATAGCTCAGCAATTGGAAGTATCTATGTATGTATGTATGTATGTATAAGACACCATTAACTTATTAGCTTACAGTCCAAGCCTTTGATAAGAAATCCAGCAGAGTCTGTTTACAACAGATGCTACATAAATGGCTCTGGGAAGTTTATAAGCAAGGCATGAAGGCAACAGCCCTCCCATCTTATTTCACTGTGGGGATCTAGTCTTCAGCAGTACACTGCCTTTGACGATGGAGGTTCCATTTAGTTTAAATTTATTTCAATGTGCGGGTGAGTTTTGGGGGTTAAATGGATTTCGAGGCCCCACGCCCAACCGTAAGAGTGCACAGGTGCCTCTTAGCCAGAGTCGTGTGAATTTAGGGAGGAGAAACTGCATCGTCCTTGCTTTTTTTGGACTCCCAAGTCCTCCACGCCTAATGGAGGATCTTGTCTCACAATTTTTGTCCGTTGGTTGGCAGAGTTTAATACAGTGGTACCTTGGTTTACATCCATAATCTGTTCTGGAGGTCTGGTTGTAAACCGAAACAGGTTGTAACCCAAGGCATGCTTTCACCAATGGGGCCTCCAAAAAAAGTGGGTTGTAATCCAAGAAAAGGGACATGCACTTCCGGGTTTGACGTGGTTGTAATCCAAAAAACAGTTGCAAACCAAGGTACCACTGTAGGAGAAACAAGGTGCGGTTCCTTCACTGCAGGGCACCCTCCTTGCGCCTCATTATTTAGGCTGAAATGCTAACCCCTGCTACCTGGGAGTAAGCCCCAGTGAAACCAGTAGGACTTGATTCTGAGTAGACTTGGCTAAAATGGCCCTGTTAGTATTAAGGAAAGGGGCTGGTGCTGGAATTTTCTGTGTGTGTTTCACATTATGCAACAGGTTCTTATGTCGTCTTCACACTTTGAAGACCAGTATATGATTCTCCCCGCCCTCCGCCTCTTGTTTAAGAAGCCTCCTCCTCTCTTTTTTATTTTCTAATAAGCGAACACTTGACAGTTAAAACTGTCACTTTAAAGGCGGGCAAAGGGCAACAGCGAAAGCGTGCGCCACTCTTTGCCCCTTCACAAAGATGGCGGCGGCGTCCCAACCGCGCCATCAGATGCCCGAGGCAAAGATGGCCGCTCCGCCTCCTTAACGTCGAGACGCAATGGCCGCACGCACGCAACTGCGCCGCCTTCGGATCCTTTGGCTAGCCAAGCAATGAGGTGATCGACTAAGCGGCGGGGAGGAGTCGTTCCGACGGGTTGTGGTTGGCAGAGCGTTGATCACGTGAGACTGTCGGAATTTGTTCGCGGAAGTAGTAGTTGGGGTGAGTACAGTAGTGGCTAATTGAAGAGGTGAGTGAGTCCAAGTCTTAGAGGACAGGGGAAGGGTAGATCTCTCTTCTGCGTGTTTCGTAGTCCTTAAAGTGTGGGTCTCAGTGGCTTAATAAAGGCTCTTGGGTCTAAGTTAAGCAAGGGGGGTGGGGAAGCTCCCCTTTCTGCTTTATTTTCTGCTGCGATCGCCCATTGCACTTCTTTCCATATTCCACCTTTAAACCAGAACCCCAGGAACTAGGTGCAAAAGACATAAGTTTTACAATTCGCCTCTGACCACATTCTGAGTCCGGGCATTTGCTTCCAGTGCCAGAACTGAACTGAGCTCACAGTCGTTTCACACAAAAGCCCACTCATGATTATAACTCTCATCATTTCAGTTTAGGTAGAAAAAGTCGTTGCTGCTGTTAAACAATCGAGCAGCCATTCAACAAGTGAGGTTTTCCTGGCCTTCATAAACAGTTGTATCTTAGTGGAAGTCTGCATGCCCAGCAGCTGCTAAAGGCAAAGGAACCCTGCCAGAAAAATAAGGTGATATCCCCCCATGTGCTGTGCGTAATTGAGTGGAAGATGTAAGGCTTAAAGCCTTCCATATTTTTGAAGTGTTAAAAGTGTTGTGATCAGATAGCTACCTGACGTGACTAAAAAGCTTGAACTTGTAACCAACCTTTTTATATCTGTTAGTTGAACTTCACATTCACTTTAGGAATATGCACACTTTCTTAATCAGGCAGAACCTATGCAATGCTGCATTTCATCTTGGAATATCATGCAAGAAATGTCATGTACAGTTTCTTTAAAAGGTTAAGTACAGGAAATGTGTGATAGTACAGCTCTGATGGGTTTCAAAAGGTAATGTTCTACTTCTGCTGGAAAATTGGTTCGTTGCACAGTGGAAGACAGATTCACATATGCAAGAGTTGGAAACTATGTTAAGATCTCCAGACTTTGAGCACAGTGTACGGTCCACAGGAAAATGTGATTTCGGGGGCTCTGAATTGCCATAGTAAAAACATGAACATGGTTCAGTACTGTAAAGAAAAGTGTTAGAGTTGGGCAAATGGAAATGTTAGAGACATTCCCTTTTCTGAAAGTCAGTGGAAGGAAGTAACAAAATGGAAGTTACTTTAAAATTCCAAAGTTTGCCAATGTTTTTTCTTTGTTGGTTTTTAATATGATTGAATTGGCTTTCTGTTCCTTTCCGCCTTCTATATGTATTTATATTGTGAATATAAATACATTATATTGCTTCTCTTGCTTGCCTTTTCTATCTTCTGGAAGTGAAACCATGAAAAAGGAAAGACTGAATGCAAAAATGTTAGACTGCTTATTCTAGTTATCAGTTTGACAGCCCACCTCTCACCCCTCTTGGTCAATGTAAAGGGGCAAGTTTTGCCATCTTCCCTACTTTGTAGGAATACAACAGCTGTTTGTGTACGTGTCAGTTTAAACATACCATCTGCTTTGGGTGAACCCTAACTATTATTTTAAATAAAGACCTCATATCTCAATAGCTCTAACCCTTCACCTGCAGTTCTTTTTCTTGGTCACTCTAACATGCAGTGGTGTGGGACAAAATCTTAATGAGCATAAACTTACTTGCCATTTTCCTTTATACACTCAAAAGTGAATTGGAGAAAGTACAAACCAAGTATATAAAAATGAACAACAGTAATACTGCTTAGACTTAATAATATAAATGCCTTAAATAAATAAAATCTTCAGTTGTTAGTGGAAAGATGTGTGACCTTACAGATCATCCTGGGTGGGGTGTTAATAAAGTAGGCTCCAATATGTTGAAGATATATTATGAATGTGTTGCCTTCCCCTTACATCAGGAATTTATGAAACCTGTGGCCCTCTAGATATAGTTGAACTCTAAATCCCATGAGCCCCAGCCAGCAGTGCCAATGGGCAGAGGTGACTGGAGTTGTAGTTCAACAGTATCAGGAGGGCCACAGGTTCTGCATCCCAGCAGTAGGGAATATGATATTCCTCTGTCATGTGATGAGAGAAAATGCCAGTTGTTGAGCTACACAGAATTTCAATTGTGCTTAGCACAATAAGCAGGATAAATACACTGCACAAACTAGTTTTATAGGAGAGGTATAGGAACTAGCTGGAGGATTTCTTCTTGGTGGGCTACTAATTGAGCTATAATGATTCTAGACTTGTAGCTAGGATTTCCAAATTGCAAGCCAAGTACTATTGTACTTAATCAGGAACGGAGTACTTGTGGCCCTTAAGACGTTATTGGACTCCCATCGTCCCAACCACTGGCCGTATGGGGTGCCTCTAGTATTTTCTTGCCCACTACTCTACATGTCTTGGGTTCCCTACCCCGCTCAGAAAAGTAGGCACCAATTTGCATAAACTTTGTATATGCTTTGTGTCATATTCAAATTTATATCCTGTTTTGTTGATCGGGTGGAGGACTCAAAAATAAATCTGTGGCCGCACACCAAGTAATAAGATGTTTGACCAGCTGAATGTCAGCAGGTTTAACCTGTTGAATTTCTGTTTGCCATGCAGCTGTTGAAAGACTAGAGCGCCCTGCTTAATGCCAACCCTAAACCGTGCAAATAATTCTAGTTTCATGAGATGTAAACTTTGATGTTACAGTAGGTCTTTCATTCAAGATTCAGTTAAAAAGCAACCAGTGTTTTTAAACAGCATTTTTTGTGTGTTTTTTTAGTTATAAAAAGGTAAAGGGACCCCTGACCATTAGGTCCAGTTGTGGCCAACTGGGGAGTTGCGGCGCTCATCTCGCTTTATTGGCCAAGGGAGCCGGCATACAGCTTCCGGGTCATGTGGCCAGCATGATGTAAGCCGCTTCTGGCGAACCAGAGCAGCACACAGAAATGCCGTTTACCTTCCCACCAGAGTGGTACCTATTTATCTACTTGCACTTTGACGTGCTTTCGAACTGCTAGGTTGGCAGGAGCAGGGACTGAGCAATGGGAGCTCACCCCGTCGCGGGGATTCGAACCACCGACATTCTGATCGGCAAGCCCTAGGCTCTGTGGTTTAACCCACAGTGCCACCCATGTCCCTTTTTTTAATTATATCTCTTAATAATTAGAGCAGTGTTATTAGCATAGATCAAACAGACAGCTATTCTCTCTTAATTTTTAGGGTTTGTATCTTTCACACAAATATACCCATTTAAGTGTTCACACCAACAGCAACAGCCCAAACATGCACCTATTTTCCTTCATGGGAAAGCAATTAATTACCCCCTCCATCCTACAGTAGCTTAACAGTCCCTCCTGTATTTCTCTAAAAACAAAAGAAAAACACACCAAGAAACTGTTGGGATACTGCCAGGGAGATAAAGTCCATCATGGCCCCCAAGCCGTCTGCTGGACGATCCATCGACCTCCCGTAGGCACGCAGTATCAGCAATTAGCGACATGAGTTTCTAGAAAATATCTTGCCACATTCCAGAGCTCATGCACACTCTATCAGCAGATAATGCACAGCCAAAAGTTGCACTCAGGAGAGCATTATTTACAAGTTTATTCAGCGTAGATCAGAACACAGAAAAACATGACTGCCTGCTTTAGTGTCTACGACACAGAGAGAGAAAACGAAAGCAACAGAAAACATAAACATCCTGTAAACAGGAAATACGCAGACTTTGAGTCACAAAGCCTGCTCCCTTTTAAGGTGGAACGGAAATATCCTAACAGAAACTGTGTAACAACAATGGACTACATTCCATAGCAACGTTGTTGTATACTACTTTCTCTCAGCCCCCCAGTATTGGTACAGTAACACTGGGATACTTTGTAGGCCCGATATAATTGATGCTTTCTCAGTCACAGAGAGACGCCCACCCACCCACTGGCAATATGAAAATACTAATTATGGATTTTATTTGCATTTTTTGGAAATGTTTACATACAGAAGAAACAACAATTTTAAATGCATGAAATTGAACCTGAGTTAGAAAGGGCACAAACTCCTTGCCTTTGCTTCTGCTTAGTCACAGCTGTGCTAAAATTCTGGATTTTTTTCCACTGGGCAATAATCACTTCCCTACCAGGAAAATGTAAAAACAGTTTCAGAATAAGCCAAGAAATCCCCTCAGAACTAACAAGGCAGCTCTTCTCTATTGTCTAAATTTAGAATAAAACTTGTCTGTGACCCAGACATCAAGTCCTCTTACTCCACTGTCTTGAGAAGGGATCTACTGGGTTCTGTTGGAGCTGTTTTGGGGTCTTCTCCTTGGGTTTCTATGAGTAACCCCATAAGAGTGAGCAGCCTCCCATCTATCCAGTCTGGGGAACCACCCACTAACAGTGCCTCAGACTTACGTGGATTGAGCTTCAGTTTCTTGGCTCTCATCCAGTTTATTACCGAGGCAAGACAGTGGTCCAACACATTCACTGCCACACGACAGTGCTGACAGTGTAATCAAAAGCTCTGGATGACCCCCCACTCAGCGGTTTCATATAGATGTTAAACAGCATGGGGGATAAAATCGAACCCTGAGGAAACCCACATCGAAAGCTCCACAGAGCTGAGGAGCACTCCCCAAACGTCTATTCAAGTAGGACCAGAACCACCACCAAGCAGGGCCACTCACCCCTGACTCAGACAGCTGGTCAATGGTATCAAAAGCCACTGAGAGATTGAGACATAACAAGGAAACATTTTTCCTGTCTCTCTCTTGACAGAGGTGCTCCTAATCTAGTTAGGAGATTCATTTGCTACATCTTATATTTAATGGGATGAGTTACATTTTTGAATTTAGGGATGGGAATGTTATCAGGCAATGGAATAGATTTGCCGCTCTTTCTAATTTATTATTTTAATCACGCATTTTTGCTGTTTTTTAAGAATAAAAACGTTTTATCATACTTGGCTATCTATAGATCTGTAGATATCTTTATTTTAAAAGGTAGCATAGAAGTCTACTCGATATTAAAAATGTTTTTTAAAAACCAGGAAAATGATTATGCTGAGAAGAAGATTCATTCAGTGGATGATGATGGCATTATCTGAATTTGAACTTTGATCTTTCCACAGCTTTGAACGAAGATAGCTTGCACTACTTTTTAAAGACATGCAGTTCTTTGGTCGACTTATGAACACTTTAAACAATGTCACCGGCTTGTTTTCAAACCCTTTCCGGATCAAGGAGGTATCCCTGGCGGACTATTCATCTCTGAAACGTGTGAAGTCTGAAGATAGGATAGTGCTGTATGAAAAAAGTTCATCTCACTCTTGGGAGTGCCTTCTTCTTAACCCCAATAATGAAAAAGTTGCTTTCCGGTGAGTGGCAGGGAGACCTTGTTTAATTTTAGCTTCAATCTGTTCCTTAGACCTTAAGAAACTCTGATATAAAACCTCTTCCTAGTAGGAGAGGGTGAAATTGAGGGTGGATTGGGAAGAAAGGGGATTAAGGGGACTATGCAGGAATGAGGGAACATTGCTATAATAGCATAGGTTTTCATGGTTACTTGATAGAGCCAGTGTGGAGTAGTGGGTAAGAGCGGTAGACTCGTATTCTGGTGAACCGGGTTCGCTTCCCTGCTCCTCCACATGCAGCTGCTGGGTGACCTTGGGCTAGTCACACTTCTCTGAAGTCTCCCAGCCTCACTCACCTCACAGAGTGTTTGTTGTGGGGGAGGAAGGGAAAGGAGAATGTTAGCCGCTTTGAGACTCCCTTGGGTAGTGATAAAGCAGGATATCAAATCCAAACTCCTCTTCTTCTTGAAGGGTAATAGGTTAGGCAGGTGGGGTGGAGGACAGTGGCGGCTGGTAACTATTGGGGCTGGTAGGGTGGAAGGCAGGGAGACCAGAGCCAACGACAGGTAGAGGCAAGTTATTTCAGTTTGGTTGCCATCCTCCTCCCTGCTGAGTTCTGTAAGGGCAACACCAAGACTAGGGAGGAGAAAGCTGGCAGAGAGACCCACCCCCTGGAGTTGTTGCAAGTAGGAAGGCAAGCAGGCTGGCTGAATTGGAAGGGACCATGAGGCTCATCTAGTCCAGCCTCCTGCAATGCAGGAATCTTTCACCCAATGTGGGGCTTGAGCCCACAACCCTGAGATTAACAGGCGTATTCTCTACCGACCGAACTATCCCTCAGGTGTGTTTTGGTTCTTCTCTTTAAACCTTCTGGAGAGGGTATAAAATTGTCCTGTTCCAATAGGACTTCTGACTGCTAAGTTTGAGTGAAGTCAAATATTTTGCAGCAGCAGCAGCAAAACATTAATAGTTCTTGCTGATTGACTGGGATTGTGGGTGTTTATGGTCTTGCATATTCTTTTATTGGATTTTTCTTAATTGTTTTAATCTCTGTTGTGAGCCCCACCGCAAGCTGGAGAAGCAGGCTCTAATCGTTCTATAAATTCCTTTTGTAGGCTCTTCCAGGTAGACCACGAAGGATTTGCCCTTGAGCACTACGAGCTGTACGCAAAGAAGTTGCGCCCCTTCTATGAGAGTTCCCACAATCCTTTGCAGCTGGAGGTTTTGCAGCAACTGACAGACTGTTTTCGCAGCCACCCTAGCTGGTCGCTGGCTCATGTAGCGGTAGAGGTTGGGCTCCTGGAGAGCTTCCGTCACAATCACATCCTGAGGTATGAGAGCTTGGGCACCTTCTAATGGGGAATGACTTACATTGCAAACTTAGTTTAGGGCATTTCAAATGGGAGTCTGGGGGCCATCTTAAAGCCTTTTGCAAATCTCCCCTCCTCTCCTTTTAAGCCCCCAAACTCAGAGGCTTAAAAGGGAACCACGGGGAAACTTGGAAAAAGTTACTATTGTTAACTTTAACTTGTTTTAACTCCTTTTTTGTTTGGAGGGTGGGGTTGTTTTAAATTGTTATCAAATGTCAATTTGGATTTTTGTATTTGTTGGCTGGAGTATTGTGTCCCAACATGGGGCGCAGACCCCACAGGGGGGCAATTTTATTTTTAAGAGGGGCAATTTGAGAATGAGTTATTAACAGTTAATGGCCTGTTAGTCTTCCTCCACGTGAATAAATAAGAATTATATGTCACAGGGGAGGAGGGCATCAGGATTTTAGAGATGCTTAGGTGGGGCATGGCCAAAGAAAAAGGTTGGGGACCACTGGTTTAGGGGCTTTTGTTGGGGAGTGTATTGTTTATTAGTGTGTATACATTAGTATTGTTAATTGTTTGTTTTTATTATGTGCTTTGTGTTTTGATTAAACTTATTGTGTATTTTATGCTTCATATATGGTACCTTTGTGTTGTCAACCACCCTGAGACCTATGGATATAGAGCGGTATACATATTTAAACAACAACAACAAGCTCTGTAGCTCTCCTCCTGCTCCTCTTTTAAGTTTCCGAAATTGAGTACTTAAAAGGGGAGCTGGGATAGACTTGCAAAATGGACAGGTGGGTGTCCCTGCCCAATTGTTAAACTTGGCCCGTGAGGCAGAACCTGGTAAGGATCAGGCCTGTGGATCCCGAAAAATCCCTGCTCTAATGATTGATTTCAGTGGCTGTGGCTTGTCCTATTGGAATTGAACGGGACAGGGGTGGCAGTTCTTCCAGTCACTGATCTTACCCTATATCAGAGCAGCAGCGGTAGAATTTGGTTTGCTGTTCCACAAAGTAACGTTAATGAGTTTTGCGAAGCAAACCGTTTTGGGTGGGGATATGCGATTCTGGCTGGTTTTGCACTTGGGCCCAGCATTGTGCCCGGAATGCCTCCATCTTGCATTGCAGCTGCATAAACAGCAACAGCGGCGACAATGAATGTACCCCGGTGCACTTGGCCTGCCAAAAGGGAGACATGGAGTGCCTGCGGGAGCTGGTGGAGCAGTGCCATGCCCGTCTCGATGTCACCGACAAAAATGGAGATACCGTCTTCCACTACTCTGTCCGAGGGAACAACCCTGAGATCATAGAGGTGAGGATGTTAACCGAGAAAGGTGGGTTTCCTGGTAGAAAGAAGAAAATGAAGGGAAAGGTGCAGAAGCAGAGGAAATAGGAACTTTCCATGTCCGGAGAAGCTGGAGAGAGACGGTTCCCTATGAGTTTATGGGACTTTTCTTGCAGAGCCAGTGTTGCTCTGTGTTTAGAGTGTTAGACTAGGACCTGAGAGACTGGGGTTTCAATCCCCACTTGGCCATGAATCTCACTGGGTGAGTCACTCCCTCTCAGCCTAACCCACCTCACAGGGTTGTGGGGAGGGCTAAAGGAGAAAAGGTAGAGCCATATATGTCACCTTGAGCTCCTTAGGGGGAAAAAGGTGGGATATAAATGCAGTAAGTAAGTGGTTCCTAACTGGTGGTCTGTAGACCCAGGGGGTCCATGTAAGGCACCCGAGGGTCCATGGAACATATCCATCAACTGTCTGGAACTTCCTCTTTTGGGGGGCTGTGCTCTCATGGGAGAGTACTGCGTCCAAAATCGTGTGAGAGCACGGCACCCCAAAGCGCACACTTTTGGGTGCTGTGCTCTTGCGTGGGTCACATGACTTGTGCAGGAGCGTGGCCCGAAAGACGTCTGGCCTGGTTTTGCTCTGGAGGGTGTGGTGACACCATTCCCATAACAAAAAAACTACCGGCGAGATATCAACTTTTTCAGAGTAGGGGGTCCATGGCTTGGCTGTTGAAAAGTGGGGTCCGTAGTACTTAGCTAATTGGGAACCACTGTGATGAATAAATGAAATGTAAAGAATGTTTCTTCCATGGCTAAGGGCAAAACTATGCATTGTGTGGTGAGTTCCCGCCTCCCCCCTCAGAAATAAAGACACAAGACACAAGAATTCGAGTTAATGGGTCAAATTAGGCCACAACTTTATTGATTACAAGATTTGAGCGGTATTGGCTTAGGCATTGGTCTTATCAACTAACCGGCTTCAGCCTGCTTGCTTGAAGACCGGTAAGGGTTAACCACCAGTAGGGGGAGTCCCGCTGATGTGCGTCAACTAGGAACTCCCCCGGGCCCACTCACCAGTTTTCTTCTATACACAATTTCTGGTCTGGTATTCCTGCTGAGTCATCTTATCCATCCTTCAGAGTCTCCAAACTTGAGTGACATTGTTCAATTGTTGCAGCTCATGGGCAAGAGGTCAACTGCCGCTTTGGACCATGTGAATGATGAAGGAAAGAGCCCTTTGCACCTGGCCTGCCAACTGGGCAAAGAAGATGCTGTTCATGCTCTTTTGAAGGTCAATGCTAAGTGCAGCAACATGGGAGCACTCGGCTACCCCATCCACATTGCTATGAAACACTCCCAGAAAAGGTGTGTTTGCTTTTTTCATTTGGATAAGAGTGCTAGAATTTTTTTTTTTGCTAATAACTATATTTTTGCATTAACTATATTTTTATTTCCCCACCCCACCCCACTTCCTCCCAAAGGAGGTGGCGAACAAGGAAACAAGGCCAAAATCTGAAACATAAACCACCTTTTCTCACAACAAATATGTTTCGGAGTTGCCTGAAGAAATAGCAATGTTCATGCCACACATTGAAAGCACTGTGGGGCCACTTTAAACAGTCACGGCTTCCCCCAAAGAATTCTGGGAGCTGTTGTTTGTGAAGGGTGCTGAAAGTTGTTAGGAGACAGCTGCCCCACCCCTGATTTAACAGTACAATATTAAAAGGATACATGATTGGACCATAAAGGTAAAGGGACCCCTGACCATTAGGTCCAGTCATGGCCAACTCTGGGGTTGCGGCGCTCATCTCGCTTTATTGGCCGAGGGAGCTGGCGTACAGCTTCCAGGTCATGTGGCCAGCATGACTAAGCCGCTTCTGTCAAAGCCAGAGCAGCGCACAGAAACGGCGTTTACCTTCCCGCCGGAGCGGTACCTATTGATCTACTTGCACTTTTGGGCATGCTTTCGAACTGCTAGGTTGGCAGGAGCAGGGACCGAGCAACGGGAGCTCACCACGTTGCGGGGATTCGAACCGCCGACCTTCTAATTGGCAAGTCCTAGTCTCTGTAGTTTAACCCACAGCGCTACCCGCGTCCCCTGATTGAACCATGGAGTGGGCTTAAACCTGGACCAGTTTTCCTTGGAGCCATTGCTGGCACACCTGCCACTTCCAAGGCCCAAGGCACCATGCTTCCCTCTTCTTTTGCATGTACACACTTGCAGGCTGCTTAATGGAGCCTTGGAAGTGTCCCCTACCTACTGAATATTCAAGGATCCATGCAGTGAGCGGGCAGGTGTTTGTCGTATCCCTTCATTCTTTTCCTTCTTGTTCTTCTGCTCCAGATGTGCTCAGGCCCTTCTTGATAAGGAGATCAGCCAGATTCAGCTGCTAGACCCACGCTACGGAGCGACGCCACTCCACTGGGCCAGAAATGCTGATGTAAGCGGGTAGTCTGCTAGCCGGCTAGACATCTTTGCTTTAAAGAGTCTTGCTCTCCTGGTCATGTCTCCACAAAGAGCTCCTTTCCGTTCCCCATCTCTGACCTTCTGATCTGTGTGTAGGCTTGCTGGCTCCTGGGTCTTTAATACCTGCATGGCACTAAGATGCTTGGGGAGGGGATGGTGGCATGTCTTTTCTTGCCAGCATATGTCAGAAATGGGATAAGCTTGTACCTGCCGACTTCTTCCTGATGCTAAAAGCAGCCTTCCCCATCTTGACCTTGTTGGGCTTCAACTTCCATCTGCCCCTGCCAGCATAGGTTGATGGGAGCCGTAGTCCAAATAATCTGGAGAGCATCCGTTCCATATGGACCTGTTTATCCTCTTCCTGACCTCTCCAGCTGGAGTCCTCCTCCAATGGCGACTGTGGAGAGTAATAGGGGTTCTGTTGCAGCAGACATTATGTGGAATTGCCTCCCAAGGGATTCTAACCCTTTTTTCATTTTAAGAAGGACAATAAAGATATTAATCAACATGGCATTTAGAGGTAGTTAGGGAACTTGGGTGGCATTTTTATTAACTGGTTGCTCTTGCTGCCAGTATTGTCATTATTTTGACGGCCTTGTTTGAGTTGGTTTTTAGAGTTCCATTTGTAAACTGATTTTTGCTCGATTGTTTGACACTCCCCATCTGACTCCCAGTCTCAGGTGATTTACAGTTTTATTTATGCATTCATTAAAATTCTATATTGCCCTTCATCCGAGGATCAGAGGGTGGTTTACAATATAAAAACGCAAAAATACGCAACATAATAACAAACAAAAAAGCAGTAACCCCCCAGTTTATAAGGTCATAGATTGGTTTGAGAACAGCAACCTTAAAATAAAACATGCAAGAATCACAAATATAACACAGAACCAGCTTCCTTAGAGTCCAATGCCAGCTGAAAAAAAATTACTTTCATTGTTTTATGGGACAGGAGAAGAGAAGCAAGGGAGCAAGGATGCTCAAAGTGGATATCACAGGCCGTAGGACTGAAATGTTTCCAAGTATTTAACTTAATTTTTCCCTCACATAAACGTAACAGTTAGAGTAAATATTTTGGTGGGCCTGAAATCTAAAATATTTATCTCCATACAAGCACTGTAGTGCTTTTATCAGCACAGAGAGAAGTCATCTGATTTCTTTAGCCTTGTGGAGCTTAGGGTATCCAAAATATTAGGTTCTCTACAGGGCTGTACTGTGGGAGTTTGCAAACATAAACAGCCTCAAAGTTGTACAAAATAGATTTCTAAGACAAGCCCATGGCTGCAAACCCGCCCCCCCAATAATACACGCTTTCCTGACATAGACAGAAGTTAGGACCTTTTACCATTTCCTGCAAAATTAAAATACTGGATGCATTAAATTATACATAATCTTCCCAGACCCCACTGGATCTCCTGAAGGAAGGTGGATCTCCTGAAGGACTTTTGTATTAGAAGCCCTTATACAAGGCTACAGTATCCTATGTTACACAAGAGGCAGAGCAAAAGCAAAACAGAATGTGATGAAGCAGAAAGGCACTTGCCAAAGGGGGCAGTTAAGCGGAAAAACTGTATATTGTTATGGTAACTGAGACATTTACTGTGAATTGGGTGTCCCTCTTTCTGTTGTGTTTGTTGCCTTATAAGCGAGCACAATGTGTGAAATCTGTACAATGTCTTTATTGGTGAGATAATGTGTGAGTTGAGGCAAGAGCCTTAAACTTATAATTTTTGCGCTTCTATGAGCATGGGTTCATCTTTCAGAGCAATAATTCTTCTCTTTGGCCTTAAATCTAGGGTTTTCAAAATCTTAGGCATCTTCCTTTTTAAATATTTGTTTATTGTTTCAAAAAGAACATAATCAAAAAAAGCACAGCCCTATTCAAATACATGCAGCGATTTCTCATTTGCATAAAAGTATCTTCCCATATGCCCCAGGTACCTTGTTTGTTTTATCGTTGAAATAAATCTGACCTCACCGGTTCTGGTGAAGAAGCGCTTGTGATCCAAAGTGTTGCTTTGTGCCTTTCCCCCTTGTCTCCTAGATGACCCGGCTCCTCATTGACTATGGCTGCGAAGTGAACGCCCTCAGCAAGACCGGGGAGTCGGCCCTGCACATCGCTGCCCGGCGGGGGCGCTTTGATTGCACCATGGTGCTGCTGACGAATGGAGCCATGGCAAATGTGAAAGGGGCAGATGGCAACACCCCACTGCACCTGGCCATGAAGGTGGGCTTCTCATCTGCTGGATGCTTGCTTTTCCAGAACTGAAGGGTGGGGCAGGGGCTGAGAGGAGAAAGGAGAAAAGTGCATAACGTCTGCAGAGAACCCCCCCTTTTTTTTGTATTCTTCTGTTGTAATAATAATAATAATAATAATAATAATAATAATAATAATTTTTATTTATACCCTGTCCTCCCCAGCCAAGGCTGGGCTCAGGGCGGCTAACAAGCAATAATAAAAACAAGTTGAATGAATACAACTTAAAAACAAGATTAAAATACAACATTAAAATATTGAAACATTAAAATATTAAAATGCAGCCTCATCACAGGAGGAGAAAGGAAAAAGGAAAAAGAAAGAGGAGGAGGGAATCAAATTGGCTCCAAGCCAAAGGCCAGGCGGAACAACTCTGTCTTACAGGCCCTGCGGAAAGAAATCAGATCCTGCAGGGCCCTGGTCTCATGAGGCAGAGCGTTCCACCAGGCCGGAGCCAGAGTTGAAAAGGCCCTGGCTCTGGTTGAAGCCAGTCTAACTTCCTTAGGGCCCGGGACCACTAGGGTGTTGCTATTTATGGACCTTGAGGCTCTCCGTGGGGCATACTGGGAGAGGCAGTCCCATAACAATCTGTTCTGGTTCAATATGTAGACATAGCCCAGGGGTGGGCCACCTTTTCAGCCAGGTGGGCCGGATCCTAATCTCCAAAAGCCCCATGGACCAGGTTTGGTGGGTGGGGCATGGCAGCCCAGCAGTCTGTCACCTGGCATCAATATGACATCAGGTGACAGCAGTGCATCTGAAGGATGTTTCCAGGTGGGTTCAGTGGAAGCTGCTTCCAAATGCACTTCAAAGTGAAGGCCACACCTTTCCCTGCCTCCCACTAGGCATCACATACAGCATCAAGGGCAGGGCAGGTGGGTGTAGTTTGATGGAAATGACATCCCAGGCCAAATTAGAACCCTTGTGTGCCTAATGAGGCCCATGAGCCAAAGTTTTCTCATCCCTCAATCCTAGTGCCTCAATCTTCCTTTCCTGAATATTTTTGTCTGTCTCTCCGCATGCAACCCGTCTAGTTAAAGTGATCCTCCTGCATGAAGAGACTCACAGAAACATAGCTATTTGGGTAGGATATATTGGCAGCTCACAGTGTGTTTGCCAAGATGGCCGCCGGGTGGGCATTCCAGCTCAGGAAGCTGAGGCTGGAGGGAGCTCCTGGCAACACTTTTCCCTTTACAAGCTCTTTTCCTCCCTGCAGCAAGACCATCTAGAAATGATCAAGGCCCTTATTGTGTTTGGAGCAGATGTGGATGTCCCCAATGACTTGGGGGAGACACCCGGGTTGTTGGCGGCCAGGATGAGCAAAGGTGAGAGGGGGGACCTGTGGGGAGGGAAAGGGAAGTATGGGAGCTGGGTGGAAGACAATGGTCCAGCACTGCCACAGCTACAGAGGTAAAGGAGAAATAGAGCTGTGTGTCGTCAGGATATGGCTGGCAACGTACTCCATAATTCTAGATTTGGAGAATCCCTTTTGTGACCTTGTGGCCTCTTGCACAGATTTGTTCTGCCCAGGGGAGGTATGGTGAGAATCTCAGGCCTAAGGAGCACAAACAAGGCCCCAGCTGTGGCATAGGATTCTGAGGATCAGGCCACAATCTCAGCGGGTTACTTAAACCACACACCCCGTTCTCTCTTGAGGCAACCACCTCCAGCCCTGTGTTTTTTTCAAACCAGGTACATGGGATTAGTCTGACTCACAGCAGGCAGCAGTGACCATTTCCTTTATATTAATGGATTTTCCTCTCTAATGCATGTGACGCTCTCACCATATCAAAGGTGCCAATCGGAAGGTGCTCTTAGACCTGCTGAAAATTGTAGGGATTGACCGCTTCCACCCACCTGGCATATCAGTACCAACTACTTCCACTTCCCAGGAAGGACTACCGCCCCCGAGGAGCACTAACCAAAACCTAGGTAACAGACTACCTAGCCCTGTGCTTCTCTCTGTGTCTCTGCTTCACTATCACTGTTTTAGGACCACTTTTTCTTCCAGTCTGGGAAGGCATTTACATGTCGGAATAAATGTGAAACTTGAGCACGTGATCGTCTCAGTTGAGGGTTGAACCAAGGTTTCCTGTTGCAGTGCGAATGTGCTGGGGAAACCATGGCCAGTTGCTAATGGCACAGTGCTGGGATTCTTCCTTAAGGTCTGTTGCAGGGACGGATAAGCTGTGGCTTTTCAGATGGTGTTGGCTTCCAGCTCCCCATCAGCTCTCGTTAGCATAGCCAGAGATGATGGGAGTTAGCTTTGCCATCCCTGTTCTATGACCACAAATGTCCTGACAGTATCAGTCATTTCCCTCTCTTTCTCCTTCCTCTTCTTTTTCTGCTTTGCTATATTTATATGCTAATATTCCAGAAAGGACCAAATGATGATGTAGCTCCTGGTAAGTGTTTAGGGGAAGCAGGAAGGATTGCCATGTTCAATAGAAGACTTTGCCTTTTGATAGGGATGTTTTTTATGATATAATGGTCATGGCAATGGACTGTGTGCTTGCTACGTATCTTCCTTGGATACAGCAATTAAAGGTATGAGAACCTTGTCTTCTATTGCATAGGGCCATTGGGGTGATGGGGAACTCAGTTCCTAGACTCTCAGGTTCCTAGTCTACTGCACCTGCTTCTAAACATCCTGCTGAACAGAATATTTGCCTTTCTTTTCCTTGGCTCTCTAGAATTCCAGGACGTCATTCATGTCTCTACAGCACTTGGTACCTTGCTGAAAAAACAAGATGTGGTCGATCTTGCCACCGAGAGGAAAAAAAGGTAAGTGGGTTAGTAAGTTAGTAAGTTAGTAAGATGGACTTCATCAAGTCTGCAATGCTCTGTCCTGTTGTGAAAACTGATAAGACTCAGAGAGAGGAGACCATAGTAAACCACAGTTAATGATGTACTTTGAGTGTGCTGATTCAGGAGAAACGAACTAGGATACCTGGCTTAGTGTCATGTCTTTATCCAAGGACCAGGATTTCTTCTGCTCCAAACAAATCATGGTCTGTAACCCAAGAGCAAACCTTGGCTACAGACCATGGTTGAATTGGAGCAGAAAAAACCCACAATCCTAGGTTCAGCCAGGATTGTTTCTCCCACACACCAGAAGGAAGAAGTTGCCCCAATTTGGGGCGTTCATGCAAACTATAATGTGTGAATGAGGTCACTGCATGCCCAGAGAGGAGGGATCCCTACCCCATTTCTCCCCTACCTGCTTGCATCATAAGCAGGGAGGGGAAGCTTTCTGGCCCTCCAAACATTGCTGAACTCCCAACTCCCATCAGCCCTAGGAAGCACGACCAGTTCTCAGGGATGATGGGACTTGTAGTTCAGCAACATCTGGAGAGCCAGAGGTTCCCCACACCTGATCCTCAGCATACCTTTCAAGAACTACAGTTCTTCCTCACCTAGGGCAGGGAAGATACTTTGATGGTTAGAATGTTGCCCCATGAGGCATCTGAATTTTAGGAGTGAATATGACCTTGGGAACATTAAACTCCTTCTCTCCTCTCTTCCTTCCCCTCTCCCCTTCTCTAGTCAAGACCGCCTTTTGAGTCTGGATGGTGGGGGTGTCCGGGGCCTGGTGCTCATCCAGTTCCTCATCGCTATAGAAAGAGCTGCAGGGCGTCCCATCCGGGATCTGTTTGACTGGGTCGCTGGGACGAGCACGGGGGGAATCCTGGCAGTGTCTGTTATACTAGGTAAGGAAAGAGCACTCGTGTGGGTCCACAGGTGGAGGAGGAAATCTCCCTACCTGGTGGGGGAAGAGTTCTGGAGTGAAAGAGAAAGGATGAGTGTTGGATATCTTCCTGGCCTAAAAGACTGTTCCTGCCATCTGTGAGAGAAGTGGCCCTGACTTACTGCGGCTTTCCCCAGGCTGTGGGATGCTATTGGGCTCCCAACTCCCATCAGCCCCTTGCTTTCTGGCCCTGCTAAAAATTATGAGTAAAGCAACATGGAGGGCACCAGGTTGGAAAAGACCTGATGGAGAAGCAAGGGGTTTGCTTTTCACGAGGGATGGTTGGAAGTGGGTTTCGCATTTCTGTCCAAGCTGCCACGTGGCAAAGCTGACTGTGTACTCTGATCCTAATCTACCCAAATGCTTGCTTTAGTCTGGTTTTACAATGCTTGGATTTTTGCAGACTTTGCAAACAGGGGAGGCACATAAACCATACTCTGTTCTTTGGTGATTCTGCCCCTTTCTCTTCCATGTCTTCTCCACTAACCTTTATTCCACTTTTTCTATCATCCTCATGGCTGCTTTTGTATATTGCAGCAAAACATGGGTCTTCGTGTTTCCGCAAAAAGTTATTTTCTGAGTTTCCAAGCACTCCAAATGCCCTTCGAACATTACGGAGGAGGAAACAGCACCAGGGCCGTCTTACCCATAGGCACTATGGGTGTGGGGCACCTGGGCACCGGGCTTTCAGGGGCACCAGGCCGAGATTCCGGGGCCCAAGAGTTGGGTCTAGGGAAGAGAGTCGCGGCGGGCTCTTCTGCTGTGGGTGGCTCTGCGCCGCGAGTTTGGGGGTGACTGAGCCAGCGAGACGCTGAGGCGGCCGGCCAGCTCTGCCCTCCTGCGTGCCTGGGACTGGGCAACCGGGGGGGAGGGGTGCCGGGCGGATCTTTGCACCCCGGCGCCACATATGCTTAAGACAGCCCTGAACAGCACGTGTGTGTGTGTTTGTGCACATGCACACACACACACAACCCATGAGGTACCACTAATGCCCTTCTGCCTCTCAGGGAAGCCGATGGAATACATGCGCTGCTTGTACTTCCGCATGAAGGACGAGGTGTTCCGAGGGTCGCGGCCCTATGAGTCAGAACCCCTTGAGGAATTCCTGAAGAAGGAGTTTGGAGAGCATACCAAAATGACGGATGTCAAACAACCCAAGTAAGTAAAACAGCAGTGACTGGTGCCCTTTGCAACTAGTATGGAGGAAGGCGGAGGGGACGGATGACTGTGGGCAGAGCTGGACCCATTGATAGGCTGTTCCAAACCAATGACAGGCCACGCTGACTAATTCTAGGATTGTCCCCAACCCCCCCTCCCTTCTACAAGGATGAAACTAAGAAGGAATCCAACATCCAGGGTGAGTTTTAAGTCAGAAGGCAGGCAGGTGGGGGCTGACTGAGGCCAGACTGAGGTTAGGAGGACAGTGCCCCATTTGCCCTAATGGACGAGACCTCCACTGAGCCAAAACCAGAGGGATGCTGTCTTTGCCCTTTATCATGGTGGCTTCCTGATCTTCTGTCCCTGGAGGAGGGAGATCATATCTATGATTTATCTGTTTGAGGCAGGACCAGAAAGCACATAACATGGTTTTTAATATTTAAAATATTATATTTTTATATATGCTGGAAGCCACTTAGAGTGGCTGGGGCGACCCAGTCAGATGGATGGGGTACAAATAATAAAGTTGTTGTTACTCTGCTGAATCTAAGCAGGTTTGGGTCACCTCAGTGCCAAGGTGGGAGGATTGCCTGGGGGTGCTGCCTTAAAATCCCATGGAAGAGAGGTGGGATATAAAAATAATATGTGAAGTTGCCATGTGCTGAGTGTCTAGCCCAGTATTGGCCAGTCTACTGTGGTTGGTAGTTAGGCCCAAAGTCACAAGAATCATAAAGATGGAAGAGCCTTGGAGGTTAATGAGCCCAATCCCCTGTTCAGGCTGCCACTACAGCATCACTGACACAGATGACCAGCTATCTCCAGTGGAGCCTTCACTACCTTCCAAGGAGATGGTTCCATGTCAAACAACTCTTACCATTGGAAATCTCCTCCTTGCATTCAGGTGGACATTTGCTTCCCTGGTTCTAAGTTCTGTTCTCTGGAGCAACAGATATCCTGAGATACTTTTACTGGAGATGCCAGGAATTGAACCTGGTACCTTCTGTAGCCTCTTCCCCTTACAACCAAGCTGAAATCTTGTCTTCATTCCTCAAAATCCCTTACAGACTCATGTTGACAGCGACGCTATGCGACCGACAGCCTGCTGAGCTCCACCTGTTCCGGAATTACAACCCTCCAGAAGGAAGAGGCAAATCCCGTTACAAGTCGTCGGGTTTGTTTCAAGCGTTGACCAGGCCTGAAGGTAAAAGACTCGCTTGCACAGCACTCTTGTGGAGTCAAGGTGCTTGTTGAAGAAAAGCAAGCTCCTACACAAGGATTCTTCCTCCCCCTTCCTCGTTTTGTGTGTGTGCCTCTCCAAGCAATACTGATCATACATGTTATGATGATCTCCGTATAGGATGGACCACGTCTTGGGTGAAGTTGGAACAGATCAGTCTCCCTAGCTTGTGTACTTGCACCAAAATAAACCTTGTGCAATTGTGAATGCAACAGTGTACATGTTTTCCTCTCTTCTCAGAGGTTATTTCTGTTCTGAAAAAAATAACTTATGGAGCAGGCAATAGTGGCCAGCAGTACTTGGTACCACGGTAGAAGCATACCATGCAGTGCGGGATAAGTGACCCATCCTCTGCTATTCTTTCTCCAACGGTTTAGGTGCAGTCTCAGAAATAGGATTGTGTTCCCTCATTTGTCTGGGCTAAAAATCTGCCGATGGATTTATCTTGTATTTTTGGAATCCAGCTGTGCACGTTCCAACCAACATATTCCCTGCCTTCATTTCACTTTGTGCAGGAAAGATATTTGTGATGTTGGCTGGCACAGTCAGTCCACTCCTACTTTTTGTGTTGTAAATGTGTGCAATCACAGCCATTCATCCTTTTCTCCACTCTGTCCATGAGCTTTTGCCAGCTGTGTTATAGCATCAGAGTTTGTCTCTTACGCCACTTCTGGCCAGTCTGTTTCATTCTTCTGGTTGTTTCCTGGTCCTTATTTGCTGTTGCCGCCTTTAAAAGGTTTCCTAGGTTGTCACCGTGAAAGTTCTCTGAACCCTTGGTGTTTGCTTAGTCATTTGGATGGTGATCCACTGTTTGTCACTTGAGCATTGGAGAACCCACAGCTAATAGGGGTCTTTTGGCATCAGCTCTCCCATCTTTCATATGGGGATAATAATCAGATGTGTTTTAGAGATTGTCCTTGTTATGTGGATTATTGAGAGAATGTATGCACATTAAGCTTTTTGAACCTGTAAAGCAGGGATGGAGAACCTGTGAGCCTCTAGATACTGTTGGACTCACATCAGGCTCAGCAATCATGGCCAGTGGTCAGGGATGATGGGACCTGTAGTCTTGCAGCATCTAGAGGGGCACAGACTCCCCTCCCTGCCCTGCAGTACTATGTGCATTCTTAGTAGCAGCAGATCTTGTCCTAGCAATCAGCAGGATGCACATAGTTTAGTCTGTGGAGGGAAAGACACATCTTTCTTTGTTTCCCCCTCACAGATCAGCTGATGTGGCAGGCTGCTCGTTCCAGCGGAGCTGCCCCAACATATTTTCGGCCCTTTGGACGCTTTCTGGATGGAGGTCTGCTGGCCAACAACCCCACCATGGATGCCATGGCTGAGATCAACGAGTGCAACAAAATCTTAATCCAGAATGTAAGCTTAAGTGGCACGCCTCATTGCACTTAAAATTCTGGGGGTTGTGGCTCCTACAGAAGAAGCATTTCCTCCGTTGCTAAAAGCACCCAGAGCAGGATGCAACATAATCCTAGTCAATACAAAGTACAGATAAAAAAAAAAAAAAATACAAAGTACAGATGGGGCAACCAGTTTTTAGCAGCAAATAACACAATGCAGTAAACAAAAACCCTACAACAGCACCAAGTGTAAAATACATTGCACACTAAAACTAGGTGTTAATGCTTTAAAAGATGACAAAATACAGCTTTAGAATAGGTTCAGCTTTGCTAACCGATGTTCTTTGCCTCCCATTCTTCCAGGGTGAGGGTCACAAGGTGAAAAAGCTGGGAGTGGTGGTCTCTCTCGGGACTGGGAAGGCACCACAGGTCCCTGTGAGCTCAGTGGATGTCTTCCGCCCCTCAAACCCTTGGGAGCTGGCCAAGACTGTCTATGGGGCTAAAGAACTGGGCAAGCTGGTGGTGGACTGCGTGAGTATTAGATGTGGATGGATCAGTGGAATGGAACAACCAGATGTTAGCAGAGAACGTCTTCATTTGGTGGGGATGGGAAGGTAGCAATATATTTACCAGCTCAGACTCCCAATACAGGTGAAGGAATTGCCTTATAGGGTTTCAGATGGAGACATTCACAACCCTGCTTAGAGATGATGGGGACTGGACTGCAAATCAGACATCCTACCACTGATCTCTGGCCCTTCTCCAGATCCTATTAAAAGGGTCTCATTGCTAAGGAAAGTCAATTCATTGATTTGGAGGAGCCCTCCCCACCCCAATATTTTCAACAAAATTTTCTAGGGAAGTGTCAAAGCAACTTCTGGAGGGTATCATGCTGGCTACCCCTGCTTTAATGTGACATGCAAGCACAACCACTGTAGACTCACAAGGACAAATTTGGCTGAAGTGAATGGACTCCGAGGTTTTCCTTCGTGACCCGATTTGCAAGTCGCTGCCACAATACAGACGTTAGAATATTATGAAGGCTCTGGAAAAAAAATTTCTGTTTCTACTTAGGGAAAACAGTGCATTTTCTTGTATTCTGCGGCTAAGCTAGAAGCATTGTGTTTAGGAGAAACTTTCCCCTCCAAGCCATATTTGTGCAATGCCTGCTTGTTTTGTCTTAGGCTTCTTTTACCTTGTAGTCCTGGGTATTTGAGTCATAGGATGGATCACTTCCTAATTGCGTTGATGTCTCTTTGCAGTGCACTGATCCAGATGGGCCATGTGTGAACCGTGCAAGAGCCTGGTGTGAGATGATAGATGCCCATTATGTCAGGTATAGGACTTGTCTACCTTGATGTTCTGTGCAGGTTGGAAAGAGCATGGCTGGAACCCTTGAATCTCCGGTTCTCAGAGACTCTGCATGGTGTGTGTGTGTGTGGTTTGCACACAGAAAGTCCCAGGTTCGATCCCTGGCATCTCCAGTTAAGGGCTGAGAGAGACCCCCCCCCCCAAAACCCTGTAGAGCCACTGCTGGTCATTGTAGACCACATTTAGTTAGGTGGAGCAAAGGTTTGACTCAATGTAAAGCAGCATCTTCTGTTATACTAAACCAGGTTAGGATTGTGTCTCTGCTAATTATGTAAGCTAACAGCAGAACCTTACTCAGTGGCAGACTTTGGGCCCTCAAATTTCAGCGGCGCCCTGTGTCACGTTGACCCCCCTCCCTGCCTCTCACACTTTGTTCTACAGCATTGTTTTGGTGTCCCCTGCAGTGCAACCACACCAGGCACCCTATCCTAGAGCCATCTCTGCTTTGCTGCAGCTGTGGCTTACATTTTGTCTTTCCAGAGCAGCAGTCAGCCAAGGGACTGATTTTATGCAGTCCCTGCAATCAATCAATCAATCAATCAATCAATCAATCAGACCTCTGGCAAGGATAATCTGTCCCTGCCTTGATAGCCCTCTGAGAGCAGTTGCCCAGTTCATGTAATATTCTTGTGCAGGGTATAACTGTGTTGACAGTGGAGCAGGGCTGCACTTTCAGCCCCCCTCCCAGTATCCGGTCTGTTTCCTGTAATAGCCACACATTGCACACTGTTCTCTGCAGCAAAATTCTTAACACAGAAGCCCCTGCTATATGTAGGGGGTTTGTGCAGTTGGGACACCTGCCTGTGCAACACAGGCGAGTCCTTTCCTCACAGCCCTTTTGTGAGGCAGGTTTAGGCAGAGTGAAAGTGCTCTGAGTTGCATTATGTGGAGGTGCCGTCAAGGAGTGAACTTGGAAGCAGGCAGAAAGACTTTGGGGCAGAAGCAGAGTGAGGGTCTCCCGAGTGCAACCGTGCTTTTGAAGCAATGTGCATTACCATCTGAAGAACAGGAAGGAGAAGGAATGTAAAACCATTAAGGCCAGAGTTTAAAATTACCTAGCCATGCCAGAGACAGGTGGTCGGTGTTAACTGAGAAGATAAGTCTGGAGAGAAGGGGGAGGGTTTGGGTGAGTCAAGAGCTTAGTCCTTAACCGTGGGGAATGGCTCAGGCTGAAGAACTGGGGCAGGCTTGACACATTTACGGGGAAAGCTAAAACCCCACTGGCCCCTTCCATCACCTGATGAAGCTACTAAGTCAGCCTGGGCATGTCAAGTAGAAGACTGCGCTACCTCTTCCTGGCCAGCTGTATCAGTTGCCCCTGAGAGCAAAAGAATGGGAAACTGAAAGCACCGATGTGACTGCATCTGGCAAAATGCCATGGAGTTAAAGGTGTCCAAAGAGTTTGCCTGCCAGAGCCCCTGATTTGAGATTGTCGTTGCCTTGCACCCGTTGCACTTTGGGGATCTCTAACTGCGTCTCTACTGCACCATAGCACTCTCTTGAGCATTGGGTTTTCTGTCTTGTTTTCCATTGCCTCTGCCTTCTATCTCGGAGACTTGCCTTTTCATCTCCAGTTGCCAGGCATAGGCCAAACTCTTGCTCTCGTTCCCGTCTTGCAGCACCCTAATGCATTCTTGGCACCTGCAGGTTCAACCCTCCTTTGGAGCTGGATGTGATGCTGGATGAGGTGAGCGATGTGATCCTGGTGAACCTTCTCTGGGAAACTCAGATGTACATTTTCAAAAACTGGGCAGAATTTCAACAGCTGGTAGAGATGCTCCTGGTTCCGTGATGCTTTGCAGCGCTGCCACGCCTCCCTGCCGCAGCGACCCTGGATTCTCAGCAAGGAGTGGTAGATTCCGCTGGCCTGTGGCCCCTTCTATTCATGGCCAGAAACCGACTGGAAGAACTGGAGGGCTGCACCCACCGAAACGTCTTTCAGCTTGCCCAGTTCAAGTACTTGCTGTGGCTGCTCTTTCCGGCATGCCTGATTCCAGTACACCAGCCGCCTTTATAACTGGAAGGGGCTGACTACGTTTCTCTTGGCTTGTGTGTGATAACATGGGATCTAACTGACCAGAGTTGGACTATCTCTGCTGCTTCTGGGCATATTGGGCCAGATGCATTGTCTGACATGCTGGGTTTGACTAACGTGCCTTTCTGTCCAAAATTATACATGAGCTGTTAAAACAAACTGAATTGCTTGTTTCTCTCCCCCATGCCCTTTCCTGGTTGTTTTTTGCTTCCTTCTTCCTGGTTCCTCCTTGCTTGATCTGAGTGGCCGAGAGGCGAGAGCAGGAAGGATGGGCTGGGTTTGACAAATTATTCCAGACAGTATTTGCCCACCAGCAGAGGTGTGGAAGGCTTCTTCTCCCTGCTTATGAAGAACTTCCTTAACCAGAATAAACAGTGTACAGGGGATCAAAAATTAAACCAAGTTAGCGAGGAGACCTTTAATTGTCAGATCCAATGATCAGGCACACATTCCAGTGTCTGTTTTTTCCTGTTCTCCTATAGATTTGTTTCCTTACTAGATTCACCCCCCCCATCAGTGCTGCTGCCTCCCCCCATCATAAAAAGTGCTGCTAACAATAACCTATTGGCTCAGTTTGCATGTCACAATAAACCGTGGTTAATGGTCTGCCTTCCACTTTGCTCTTCCCTTCTAGCCACTGGGAGCAGCAAACCACAATCCTTGGCTTAGCAGTGCATCCAAACCTGGGATGATTTGTTTGTGTCGCTCAAGCAATTTGTGGTTGGTAAACGCAGAGCAAAGCTTGACTTGACATCCTACTCTGTTTAGAGTGAAATGAACCACAGTCCCTGAGCCCAAGGATCGTGGTTTGTTGCTCCCACTGGCTAGAGGGGAAGAACAAAGTGCAAGGAACCTTCTGCGCTCTAACACTGCCACTACTCTTGCATTTTGACTAGTTTAATAGACTGTACTAGAACTACAGAAAAAAATGTCCCGGAGAATGTGAAATCTAATTGGTGTTTCTCCCGCCCCTCTCCCCCATTTTTTGTAAATCACTCTTAGTTTGTATAAATATAACTCTGAACTGTAGTGATGTTAATAGACCCTAATGTCTTCAGGAAACTGACACAGTGTTCAATAAAAGGAAATGTGTGATGTGAAAACTGACTTGCGCTTGAACTTAATACAGCTTGAAGGGCTGTAGCTTGGTGGCAGAGGGTTTGCTTTGGATGCAGAAGTTCCAGGTTCAATTCCCAGCATCTCTAGGTGCGACTGGGAGAGACCTCTTGCCTGAAATCCTGCAGAGCTGCTGCCAGACAGTGTAGACAGTACTGAGCTTAGATGGACCAATTGGTCTGACTTGTATAATGCAGCTTCCTCTGTTTCTGTGTTCCAAGTGTGAGACTCTCTTCTCTGCAAAGGAGCAAGTAGTTGTCATGGACGGTGCGAGCTCCTTTATGAAAGACCATGAGAACGGCATTGCTGGTTTAGTCCCGTGCTCCAACTGAAGTCCACACCCAAAACCGTAATTGAGACAGTTGCCCCCTCTGTGCTCTCAGTAGCTGGCAGCACCCACAGCTTTCTCTCTCTCTCTCTCTCTTTTCTTTTCCTTGTACAGAAGATCACTTTATATGTAACTGTCCAATAGCAGGCCTACAGCTCGCCAGTTTATAGCGACCGCCTATAGACTGTTTGGGTGAACAGCATATGAGTATTCAGGAGGAAATGGGCTAAGGTGATGGAGCTGCCGGTGGGAGGTGCATCTAAATGACTTGGAATGGAGGACTGAGATGAAAGCAAAATCTGATCTTGAATCTCATCTAGGTCAGCTTTTTCCAAAGCTGGAGTCATATTTTCATATGGAGATTTCAGCAATGTGATTCTGCCATTTGCTGTTGACACTCAGAATCACTTCCAATGTTTGACCCTTTGGATTAAATGCAAGATCCAGTATATGCATACATGATCCTTAAGCAAATCTGTTTATACAAACCACCACCACTTGCTTTAGAGCAGGAGTGGGGAACTAGAAACACTTCAGATGTTGCTGGACTACAATGCCCGTCATTCCTGCCCACTGGCCATACTGGCCAAGGCTGATGGGAGTCAAATGACAGTGGGCTACAGATTTTCCCCATCCCTCCTTTAGAGCACAGTGACCAAGGGCTGGGATGTAATGAGGCTGAGGTCCAACACAAACTTGTATGCACTTAAGCTCATTGGCTCATATTTGACTTCGCTTTGGTGTTTTTCTTCCATGCTAGCACCCTTGGCTCCCCCGCCCTTGTGTTAGGTGCCTTGCAATGACAAATGTCATGTGTGAATTTGGCCATCATGGATATTGTGGCAACACCTTCACCAGGGGCTGCTATCCATAGGAATTGCTAGTGGACATACCTGTTCATAGCTTGGCTAACTTGTGAATGTTAAAATTGAGTTTCAGCATTAGAACTGCATAAAAAAGTGGGGAAATGTGGCACGGCAACAAAATCTCACCACTTTTGAAGTTAGCACTTTATCAAGTTGCAGCACTGACATCGTGGGTATCCATGTTGGGGTCCCTCCCTGCATGAACCATAACCCCCAGATTCTCACCTTGCTTCCTTTTTTAAGGTTAAGTTTCTAGCATTTGTAGACCCTGAAGTATGAGAAAAAATGTACATATACCAATCTTTTCATTTTTAATGGGAAATTTGCCTGCTCCCCGCTTTCAGTATTTTACTCCTTGCTCATGGACACTCCCTCCTAAATATTCCTATGGATACCCATGTCTGTAACATTGGTTCTAGAACCACATCAGAGAGATTGGAACATCTGTGGACAACAGCGGATGACAAAGTCAGACATTTACAGTATAGCCGATCCCTATGCATTCTATATTTCAAGAGATAGGCATGTTGTGGGTGGGTGACAGCCTTATGCAGTTGTTTCACCCAAGACGACAGCCAACTCGATCATAAAGAGCTATGCAGGGAGCTGTATATTGAAACGGGCAATAAATAATTGAGGGTGAAGTCACATGACCTTCATGGTTATAGCAGGATTCCTCCCTACCTGGTATCTGGTTACACTTAAGGATCAAGTTCTAACATCCTGGCTGGTGAATTATTAAACCCCCACTAGCCGCGTTTTCCTTTTCAAAGTAAGTGTGCCGTCTCTTCTGTGGTGTTGGAGAGGAGGCTAAGGGTGTGTGGAACTGGATTAATACATGTTCCTGAGGACTGTAGACCTTCTCAACATTTCCGATCCTTGGGAGGAACTCTCGGGTCGTCGTTAAACACTCGAGGGTATGGAGCAGTCCTACAGATCTACCATCTCTATCTACAAGGTGAGGCTTGGTACCTTGTGTGCGTGTTCTGGAACATAAGAACTACCATGGATTGGCTGAAGGAAATGTGAATTAGAAAGACTTTCCTTAATGAGGGGTTGCACAAGAGAGGGATAAAAAGGAACCAAAGATCTGGCACTGGGGAAAAAATAAATAGGGAAATTTGCTTGATTCTTAACATCTCTGATCCAGATCTCAGACAGCACACATTCAAGGGATATGGATTTTGAACCCGGAACAGGCAGCCGTTACAATCTGTGACAGCACAAACCACGTGGCACTTGCACTGAAAGAGGCTCTTAACCTGATCAGGTTTGCGGACAAATTGATAGCTGCTTCACCCTTTATGTAGCATTAATATTCACTGCCATTATACTAGAGTTTCCAAGCAAGCATGGAGTGACTGGAGGTGGGCGCGCTTCCTAAATACTCCTGGCTGTGTCCTAGAGAGCTCTCAAGCCACAGGCCCCAAGAGGGGTACACAGCATGTTTCAGAACATGCTACTGCCATTCACTCTGGTGTAGTCATGACAGTCACGATTGCTGCATAATATGTAAAGTGGCTCTCTTTAAGGTGGAAGAAGCAGAAGCTGATGTCCTGCTTTTTACTGTTTAACACAAGGCTCACATGGGACTCTTTTCGTAAAGGAATTAGATCCAATTCAAGACAGACTTGGACTTCAGGCTTAAAGATGCAGCACATGAGAGAGGCAGCAGCAGAGGAGATGCCTGGGTGGGCGATATCTGAAAAGAAGAAGGTTGCTATCTAGCAATGGACATAACACTTCTATTCTTTGCATTTCAATAATCCTGGGAGACATTTGCTATTCTACACTATTTGGCCCAGCTGAGCTGAAACAGTTAGTTGCAGGCGAGAATCTGTTGTTTTAAGTTTAGAACAGAGTTCTATCTTACTTGCCTTTCCTCTACATGGAAAAGCCTCCAGTGCTGATCATTTTGGTAGTCTTCCTCTGAATTTTTCACAACTCTACAATAGCCTGTTCCCCAAAGTGGGTGTTTCCAATTTGCTGCCAAGATTAGGGAAGCCAATGAGGTGCCTTTCTGTTTTCACTGGACTCCAGCTCACATCAGCCCAGCCACATTGGCTACCCCTGCCATAGGGACTGTTTCCACCAAAAAGGTTTCCTCGGGTGATTTGAGAGCCATGCTAATATGCTGTTGTATGTGTTTATTTTTTAAATCCTTCCTTCACGCGGATGGTTCACAGAGCATCCTGGAACAGTTTAACCCAGCTCTGGAGAATCTGGTCTACCTGGGTAACAAGTATGTGCAGGCTTTCCATGGTGAGTGGCGATGTTAACTGACTGTCTGCAGGTGAGAGGTGAATATCTGTGTCCACCGTGTTGGCCCATCAGCCCTATGGAGATGTTTGATGTACACCTGGGGCTATGACGAAACTAAGATTGTGGCTGTTGACTTTGCCTCCTCAACATGCCCAAGGACCACATGTAGAGAAGAACACCTGCACAAGGACACTTGTGTACAGTAATAATAATAATAATAATAATAATAATAATAATAATAATTTATTTGTACCCTGCCCACCTGACTGGGTTTCCCCAGCCACTTTGGGCGACTGCCAACAAAGATTAAAAATGCATTAAAATGTCACACAGAAAAAACTTCCTTGATGTCTTCAGATGTCTTCTAAATGTCAGGTAATTGTTTATCTCTTTGACATCTGATGGGAGGGCATTCCACAGGGCAGGCACCACTACCAAGAAGTCCCTCTGCCTGGTTCCCTGTAGCTTTGCTTCTTGCAGTGAGGGAATTGCCAGAAGGCCCTCGGCACTGGACCTCTGTGCCCGGGTGGAACGATGGGGGTGGAGACGCTCCTTCAGGTATACTGGGTATACTCCTTCAGGTATACAGTAGACATGAATTGCATATGTAGTACACATGTAACATACCAAGCACACAACTGATGCCATTGTATATACAGTAATCTCCAGTGCTCGACCTATGGTGTCCTTGAGGGAGGAGTCAGCAAGTCTAATCAGAAGCCCATCCTCCTTGCTCCTATGCCAGCTGTCCCAACAGCAACTGGAGGACACCCAGTCTGGCAAGGCTTTCACAGGGGGTTCTGGGTTCTGCTGACAAGTCTTCTGAAGATGGTGGAAGGAAGTGAGGAGGGGTGAGCCACGGAGGGTGGCAGCAAATGGAAGAGAGCAGAAATGGAGAGCAAAGGGGAGGAACTGTGAAGGAGGAGCAAAAAAGATGAGGAGTTGCAGGCAGGGAGAGGAAGCCTCCTAATTCTCCTCTTTGAAATTTCTGCAGCGTTATCCGAGGCTGCCGATGTCTATTTTACAGCAATCCAAAAGATTGGGGAGCAAGCCCTGCAGAGCTCTACTTCGCAAATATTGGGTAAGATTCCTGCTGCTGCACTCTTCTCTTCTGCAGGTCCAAGACCCCTTAAGTGGTGGGAGCAGGAGTTGCCCCCACATATTTTCCTGGCAGCATTCCTGTGTTTGTTAAGAGGGGAGGGGGTGTTACTGGGTTGTTGTTTTTATTGTGATGATATATATTGTGGTTTTATATTTTGATTTTGTTCTGTGAACCGCCCTGAGACCTCTGAGTATAGGGCGGTATATAAATTCAATCAATCAATAAAAAATAAGAGCCGCAGAATGTTATCTAGTCTAGAGATGAAACTGTCCTGTTGTATTCCTATAATTTTATAAGACTGAATGCAAGAAGAGCCCTGCTAGATCAGGCCCAATTGCCCATCTGGTCCAGCATCCCTGTTCTCATGGTGGCCAACCAGATCAAGCAGGACTCAAGGGCCACAGTGCTCCCCCAATGGGATATCCAGCAACTCATATTCAAAGGCTTACTGCCTCGCACAGTGGAGGCCTTAGAGGTCTTGGGCAGAGTTTGGGTTTGCATGTCACATTAAAACATAGTTTAAAAGAAATGATGGTTTAACAGGAGTGTGCAGTGTGCACTGAAAAATTCTTGCTTTGTTCCTGCTACTTTCATGCTGCTGGGAATCCAGCCAGAGCCTAGTTTGTTGTGTCACCTGAACCTTGGTTATCACTTGTGATTTGTTTACAGAGAAACAAACCACAAGCCTGGGTCTGGACATCGCAGCAAGCCAGACTCTGGCTTGTTTCCCGGTAGCAGACCAGGAGAGGAGCGGAGAGAAAACGTTTTGGCAGTGTTCACCACGAAGCTCCATGGCCATGTGAAACCATAGTTCATTTTTCACTCTTGCTTGAGGCAGAAATCAGAAGAGAACTGTTTGTAATAAATGCATTCTTTGAGTGAATGCTGGACTTCTTGTTCTTTTTTATTTTATTTTACAGTAAACAAAAAACAAACAAATGAAACATCAAGCTAAAAGTAATTATAAAAACAGTAATAAGAACAAGAAAAATAACATTGCAATATATATAATATAAATATAAACAATATACTTATAAATGTTCATAGAAAGCTTAAAAAAAGACTTCATAGTGCAAAATATATTCCATAGTGGAATACAAGGTTCATATTTAAACCAAACAGATGGAATAATAATGAATGGGCTTATATTCAAATGGCATGTGAGAAATGTAAGATGCTTTTTTAGAGTCTTGTGTGAAAATATCCTACAGAGCAACAGAATGTTTCACATTCCACTTTACTTCTTCTTCATCCGCTCATGTAGTTCAGAAATTTTTAACCTGGTTTTCAACTAGAAACTCAATTTTTAAGACAGCTAAAAAGAAAATTAGCTCCACCCTCCATACCTTTGGTTTAACTTCAAACAGTGCAATCTTACACACATTGATTCATAAGTAAGCCTCAGCAGGATTCAAACAGGTCTTTCCCTAGATTGCATTCTGAATCGCTTCTCACAGACTTTTCATACAGGTTATCAAAGTAATTATAATAACTGAACTTTTGTTCCAAGATAACACTTTGCATAAGGTCATATATCACTGGCACTTGGATAATAGGTCATTTATTGTTTTCAGTATATAGTGTGTTTGATAATTTCTGTAGTGACTTTTAGAGGGCAAAGTTCCTCATCAGTCTTTATCTAACCTTAAATTCATTCTTCCTCATGTCACTCTGTCAGAACAGGATGCTGGACTAGACGGGACTTTGGCCTGATCCAGCAGGGCGTGTCTTTTGTTCAAGAATTTCACAAAGAATTCTCTTTTTCTTTCTTCCTCGAAGGTGAAATCTTGATACAGATGTCTGACACCCAAATTAACTTGAACCGCAAGCTGGAAGCAGTCGTGAGTATCTGGGAGGGACATTTGTGCAATAATGGGAGGTTGTATAGGGAAATAGCCGAGTCTCATGCTTGTGATTCTAACATGGTGGTTGAGTTTCATGTGTGTAATAGAAAGGAGAATTAATTTTCCTCTTGCTTTGCTTGCCTGTTACTCACATTTTGTCCATGCACAAGGAATAACATTATGTGTGAGTCTGCACAGTACATGTTTGCAGCTGCTTGCCACTATTTTTATTTATATAGTTATGCTTAGATAGATTTGCATATATGCTCAGTCATAAAACTCTCTAAGCAGTGTAGAACAAGTAAAAATATAGGTATCTAGAATACATATCTATGGACTTGCTGAAATAAAGCTTTTGGCTGATGTCTAAAACGATATTGGGTGGCTGTCAACCTAACATCAATAGGCAGGGATGGTCTCTGTAAAGTGGGGCACGTGGTTGTGGCTCTCCTAATCTAGCTCTATATTAGAGGATAGTCTACAGTCACAGTTCTCCAGGGTTCAGGGATGAATGGATCTGTCAATTTCAGCTTCTCTCAGTTTTCCATCCCTGCCTCTAATCTTTCAGTTCTTCACATTTCCACATCCGTTTGAGATTTTTAAAAAGTAATCATGAAAATTCACCAGCATTTTAGTGCATTTTCTTTCCTAATATCCACATCTGTATGCAATATCTTCTCATGTCCATATTTTTGCAAAGCATTTCCCCCTAATATAATGAATTTCTCTGTGCTGTTTTGGCTAAGATATGCATTTTCAATGCACGCTTGAGCCCAGTATATGCATTTTTGTACACATTACTTGACTGGAGTTCTGCACTGCAAAATTTAGAGAAGTGTGAATTTTGAAGGATGGCTGTGTTTCGGTTTTTGGGTTGTTTCAGAAAGTGAGAATTAGGCCGAATTGCCTTTATATTTCAAATGAATCACATTTCTTCCCCATCCCTAGCTGAACCATACTCGGTCTTCTGAGCTCTGCTAATAATTAGGAACATAGGGATCTGCTCATGTTCAGACTATTTGTCCATTTAGTCCAGTGTTGTCTACTCTGGCAACATTTCTCCAGGGTCTCAGGCAGAGGAGGGTCTTCCCCATCACTTGTTATTTTGAAACTGGAGATGCTGGTGATCATCTGCATGCAAAGCATGTTCTCTCTACCACTGGGCTAGGACGGGTTTCCCACTTAATGCCCAGTTTTTTGAGCCAGGTGAGGGATGCTAAATTGGTTCCTAACAACTTCCTCTTCTCTGAGCAGGCGCAGACCTTCCATGCAGATTTGCTGCAGCACATGGAGAAGAACACTAAGCTGGATGTACAGTTCATCAATGTAAGTTCCTGTCTCACCCTTGTCTTCCCCTTTGAGTCATCCCTTTGACTCCTGAAAGGTCTTGGCCTTGCACACAGCACTGTAACACAGAATAGCAGAATAATGTGCTGAGAGCTGCCAGGAGACCCCTATCAGAGAGCTATGATTTCCAGAGTCGTTTAACAATAAATTCCAGGGAACAGGGATCTCCTAACAGCTCTCAGCACCTTTAATAGATAACAGTCCCCAGGATTCTTGGGGGGAAACCAAGACTGTTTCAAGTGGTATCATAGCACATTAAAAGTATGGTGTGGCTGTGTACCTTGACTCAGGAGCAATGAAAACGTACTTTGTTGTTGTTAAGGTACAGTCAAACCTTACATCCTGAATGCCTCCATTTTGGAACTTTTCGGCTCCCGAACACTGAAAACCCGGAAGTAAACGCTCCGGTTTCCGAACGTTTTTTGGAAGCTGAACGTCCGACACAACTTCTGCTTGAGTGCAGGAAGCTCCTGCAACCAGTTGGAAGCCACGCCTCAGTTGTCGAACATTTTGGAAGCCAAATGGGCTTCCAGAACGGATTATGTTTGACAACCGAGGTTTGACTGTATTCAAATTTATTTCAGCAAACTATTGTGCAGGGACTGAATCTTACCCCCCTTTTTTTTCTTAGCCAGGAGTTCAGGCTTTTGTCTTTAAATGTATATATTTTAAAAATCTTTTCAATGTGCCTGCTCATAGGATAGCCGGCAGCGATATGAGAAGGAACACAGACGCAGAACTGCCAACATAGATAAATGCATTTCGGATCTCTGGAGAATGGAGAGAACGCGAGACAAGAATGTCTGGGAGATGAAGGTGTGGAACAATATGGAGGCTGCTTTAAGATGGGTGGCCCCTTGGCACTGCCCAGTCGTTGCTCTTTAGCTGAAAGCCAGGAGTGGAATTGCGATTGGCTTTCCAGACTATTGGGGGGTGTTTTGTGCTTTTAAAGTGCATGCACCCCATTATAGTCTGTCTGCACCAGTGGGTGAGACATAGCTGCTTCGGGTGTTGCCATTTGAAGCTCAGCACTCGTAGTGTAGTGGTTAGGGTGTTGGATTGTGGCCTGGGAGACCAGGGTTCAAATCCCCAGTCAGTCATGAAGCTCACTTAGGTGACCATGGGCCAGCCACTGCCTCTCAACACAACCTACCTCTCAGAGTTATTGTGAGGACAATTTGGAAAGGGGGAGAGACATATACACCACTTTGAGATCCTTGGAGGAAAGGCGGGAAAGCAAAGCAAAAATAAATAAATACATGGCAGCTAGACTGGTGGCTGGGAGCGGCCGCCAAGGCCATATAACACTGGTCTGGAAAGACCAACACTGGCTCTCAGTACATTTCCGAGCACAATTCAAAGTGTTGGTGCTGACCTTTAAAGCCCTAAACGGCCTCTGTCCAGTATATCTGAAGGAGCGTCTCCATCTCCATTGTTCTGTCCGGACACTGAGGTCCAGCGCTGAGGGCCTTCTGGCAGTTTCCTCGCTACGAGAAGCCAAGTTACAGGAAACCAGGTAGAGGGCCTTCTCGGTAGTGGCGCCTTCCCTGTGGAACACCCTCCCACCAGATGTCAAAGAGAAAAATAACTACCAAACATTTAGAAGACATCTGAAGGCAGCCCTGTTTAGGGAAGCTTTTAATGTTTAATAGGTTATTGTATTTTAGTGTTCTGTTGGAAGCCGCTCAGAGTGGCTGGGGAAACCCAGCCAGATGGGTGGGGTATAAAAATAAATTACTATTATTATTATGAAGCAAATTGCCTCTGGGTGTGGGGCAAGGAGATGATGAGTTAGTGCCCCTGGGACCCTGGCTTGCCAGTTCACCTACCCAGCAACTGCCACCTGCTCACCCAGCTCCTGTGGCACTTTCCCGCCATTCCTATACCTCACTCTGAGGAAGGGGGTGCCTCTTCAGAATAAGGAATTCTGGGTGAGGTGTCCTGAGAGAGTGCTGCGCTGTTACTGCCATAAAAATTTAAAATTATTAGTCGTTCAACAAAAAAATTAAAAGAGAATTTCTAAAGGGCTGCAGTGAAGCAGCAGGTGTGGGCACACGCCTGGGCCCCAGAGGGCTCACTCTGAGGAAGGCTGACATAGATCCTTCCTCCCCTCACTCCAGGAGAACATGATGCGCTTGCACACCGAGATGCAAGAATTTGTCACTGAGAGCCAGAAGGCTGCTGAGCTTGAGGAGAAACGCCGCTACCGCTTCCTAGCTGAGAAGCACCAGCTACTCTCCAATAACTTCCTGCAGTTCTACACCAGGGTAAGACATATGTAATAAGAGGGAGGTATGTAGGGAAAGGGTGCCTCAGCGTACCCAGATTTGGTGGTGGAGGGGATGGTTTAATTTGGCATTAAAGGAGAAACAGGGAACGCGTGACCCTCCCCAGGCGTTGTTGGACTACAGCTCCCATCATCCTTGATCATTGGCCATTCTGGCTGGGGCCGATGGGAATTGCAGTGGAACAACACCCAGAAGGCCGCAGGTTCCTCATTTGTTGTATTAAAGGGAGTCTGGTGAGAAGCCTTCTCTTGGAGGGAACCAAGAGGCTTTCACTATAGCAAGAGACCCCAGTTCCTTACCGTGAATAGCCACAAATCACCCAGTTAATCATAGAATATTAGAATGTACAGTGCTTGAGGAACTCTGAGAACCCTGATTTCCAGATTTCAAAGATATCAAGTTTCTAGCCCTTAAGGAAGCAGCTAAGACATGGGAAATATATGGCTAACATTATTTGCTTGCTAAAAGCTCAGAAACTGGGGAAGGTAGGGAATCCATCGCCAGATGATGAAACGTTAGTACTCAGCACAGCTCCCGGTTTCTCTTCAGTACTAGTTTCCCTGATTTACAAGCTTGTTTCTCACCAACATTTTATGAATGCTGACCTTCCTTGTCTCGGGGCTTATTTTGGTTCCTGTAAAAAGAGCTGGGAGAAAGGAGGGGAAGGAATTCTGCAAAGTCAAATCAAATTGCCTACAAATAACATAACCAACTAGGGACGCAGGTGGCGCTGTGGGTTAAACCACAGAGCCTACGACTTGCCGATCAGAAGGTCGGCAGTTCGAATCCCTGCGACGGGGTGAGCTCCCGTTGTTTGGTCCCAGCTCCTGCCAACCTAGCAGTTCGAAAGCATGTCAAAGTGCAAGTAGATAAATAGGTACCGCTCCAGCGGGAAGGTAAACGGCGTTTCTGTGTGCTGCTCTGGTTCACCAGAAGCGGCTTAGTCATGCTGGCCACATGACCCGGAAGCCATACCCCGGCTCCCTCAGCCAGGAAATCTAGATGAGCACCGCAACCCCAGAGTCGGTCATGACTGGACCTAATGGTCAGGGGTCCCTTTACCTTTACCTTTAACATAACCAAACACTGCATATTGAACAAACAAGCACCCAGTTTGCATAACTGTATATATTCTAAATGCATTGTTTGGTTTTGTGTCGGAATCTCTTAAATATAGCGTCAAGTGGCCATTTTTACAACTTTACTTGGCAGGCAGAAATTTGTGGGACCTCTTCCATTAGACGAAGATTGGTGGTAGTGGTGATTTCTCCTTGCTGCAATCTTTGGGACTGCTGTTTAGAATAAGATGTGGGTCGCACCTCCTGCTTCCCCCTTTGTCATTATACTTCCCAGACTCTGTTATTGTCTTCTTTCCTCCTGCGAAGGCCTGCGCCATCATTCAGAGCAAGGCGCCACTGTGGAAGGAACAGCTGGAAGCCACCCGAAATCCTGCCCCAACCTCGCTCAGCAGCACAACGCTCAGCCCGAGTCATCCATCTGGCTCTCTGGCTCCTGCTCCTTCCCATCTCGAGATGGTAAGAAGATGAAAGGAACCTTGGGCAGGAAGGGTTTATAAAACGAGGCACATCTGGGGTATAATTACCAAAGTTAGCCACTGGGATACTGTGTGCAGTTGTCTGGTCAGTCTCAAGGAGGATATCCCAGAACTAGGGAAGGTGCAGAAAAAGGGTAACCCAAGTGGGGTTTTTTTTGGGGGGGAGGGACCAACTTTCTTACCATGAAAGGCTAAATCAGGATTGGGGAACCTCAGGCCTGTGGGCCAAATGTGGCCCTCTGGGCCTCTCCATCCGGCCCTGGAAACTATTCCCAAGCCACACACCCTCCCTAGCCATACCCTTCACTGGCCTCGTTTCACATCCACCTTGAGTGTTTTTGCCTGTCTGGAATGTTTCCTTGAACTCTATGACTGCGTCTTGCTTTCCCTAGAAGGAGGATGAAGAGGGAGGCGTGTGGGTGCGTGTAGAAACTGTATAAAGGTAAAATGTACACTCATTGCTCCATCAGCTTTGGCCTCTGTCCCATCCGCAGCTGGCATATGACTCAAGGTGGTTGCCCCGAAGATAATGCCCATCTCAGACTAAAAAACATTCCCCATCCATTGGGGTTTGTGTTTTTGTTTTTAAAGATTACTTAGGCCCATGCATACACCAAACCTTTAAAGTACATTTCCCTTCTCAAAGAATCCCAGGAACTGTTAAGCGGGATTGTAACTGTGTGAGGTACAGTTCCCAGGATCCTTTTTTCCTTTATTTGGGTGCAGAGAGTGTTTTAAAGGTATGCTGCATATGCAACCTAAAAGGGAACGTAATACAAAGTTAATAACATTAGGCATGGTGTGGAGAAAATTGGTCGTTTTATTTTCCCCTTTCATAAAACATGAATTCCCAGCCAGCCACCCAATTAAGTTGATTGGCAGTTCAGGGTTTCTAGTGGTTGTGAACTGGGTGTCTGGCCCAGAGTGTGTCACAGGAGATGACAATATGCCTTAAGGATTGCTTCCAAGGATCTTCTCCCCTGGGATTGCTTTCACAAAGTGTCTGCTCTTCCTCTCATTTCCTTGTTGCAGCCCCAGAGGCCTCTGGGTGATTTCAGTCCAGTGATAGCAGGGCGAAGCGCCAGTCCCTTCCCACAGGAGACGGCAGAAATGTTGCCTGCCTCTCAGCCAGAAACAAGGAGGAGAACCCTGCAAAGAACTCCCTCTATCGGTAAGATATTTCAGGGGAGAGGGAAAATCCTGGGTTCAAGAGGAGTCAGGGTGTCCCGTTTGATAGTGGATAAAGACTCTCCATTCAGAAACATTTTCCCAAGATGCCTTGGAATTCCTGATATATGGGTAGGCATGATGTGTTTAGGTTCATTGGAGACTAATGTGAAGCATAGGACCTGGACGCTTAAGAACCATTGTAGTGTCAAAATTAAGAGTGTTGGACTAAGACTGGCAAAACCCATGTTCAAATTCCCAGTCAGCCACCATTAAGGTGACCTTGGACCAGCCCTTATCTCTCAAACTAACCTACCAACTAACTAACAACCAGTGTGGTTGTGAGAATACAATGGTTGGAGGAGGAGAGAATCATGTATGCCACAATGATCTCTATAGAGGAAATGTGGCATTACATATATGAGAGACAAATATGGCAGTTTATCTAATCCATAGACCAAGGATGAGGAACTTGGGGTCCTCTAGATGTTGTTGGACTCCAGCCCCCATCAGCCCCAACCATCATGGCCAATGGCTACAGATAACTGCAGTTGTTGTCCAACAACATCTGGAAGGCCACAGCTTCTCCACCCCTGCCAAAGACAAAGTCCAGGGTTGTTTTGGGTTTTTTTACAGGTGTCATTTGACCTATTTATGGATAAATTCATGTGAACTATATAGCCCACTTTTCTAGCAAAGCTGGGATCCTCCAAGAGATCTTGCCTCTCATAATTTCTTGCAGGCTCTGTTTCCACCGGCCAACGTTCTCGTTCCAGCTCCTTTGGGGAGCAGGCAGCAGGAAGAGCAGAAGCTGGGGGCAAAGAGGGGAGCAGCAACAGCGTGCTGAGAGTCCAAGCCATAGCCCCCCACTCTGCTGGTTCCAACCGGACCCTTTTGCAGTTCAGCATTGGAGATATAGTCACCGTGCTGATACCAGAAGCACAAAATGGCTGGCTGTATGGCAAGCTGGAAGGTACATCCACGTAAGTCTGCTCAGACATGGATCTGTGAGAGTACAGTAATAGGTTGAGGAGGTTCTTGGCTTTTAGGGCACTGGACCACGTATTGAAATTTGTATCATGCTTCTGAATTTATGCACACCACACATGCTTTTCTTTGACTTGGAGCTTATCTAGGGGATCAGGTCAGATTGGGGCTATTGCACTTTACAGCCTCTGGACGCGGGTGGCACTGTGATCTAAACCACTGAGCCTCTTGGGCTTGCCAATTGCATGGTTGGCGGTTCGAATCCCCACTAAGCCCCCGTTGCTCTGTCCCAGTTCCTGCCAACCTAGCAGCTCGTAGGCACACCAGTGCATGTAGATAAATAGGTGCCACTGTGGCAGGAAGGTAAACGGCATTTCCATGTGCTCTGGCTTCCATCACGGTGTTCCGTTGCACCAGAAGCGGTTTAGGCATGCTGACCTGGAAAGCTGTCTGTGGACAAACACCAGCTCCCTCGGCCTGAAAGTGAGATGAGCGCTGCAACCCCATAGTCACCTTTGACTGGACTTAACTGTCCAGGGGTCCTTTACCTGGACCTTTTACCTTTTTACAGCCTCTGGAGTAAGCGTAGGGAACCTTTTTGACCTGCTGTGTGAGATCTTTATCTCCCCACCATCCTAGTTTTTTCAAGGATTGGCTGTGTGAACAACCAACCAGCCACATCTCTATCTGACCCACTTCTGAAGTCAGTGTGAGGCAGGTGTGTGTGATTTGGGGGGAAATGGCCTTGCATGCCGAATTTCACCCATGGGTTCATCATCCGTGCTTTACAAGAAGGAAGGGGAATCTGTGACTCTTCAGAAGTTGTTGGATTCCAACTCCCATCAGCCCCGGCCAGCATGACCCAATGGTCAGGGATGATGGGTCTGGTAGTACAACAACATGTGGAGGGCCACAGATTCCCCATTCCTGCTTTATAGGATAGTCCTAGATAGCCCCATGTGGGGAAAGGGAGAGTCAATGACAGTTTACCATTGTAAATTTACCTTTATACTTTCGTTTTGCTGCCTGGGAACGTATTTATAAGAGCAAGTAAATATGGAGGAATTATAGTGATTTCTCCAGGTCCAGGTTTCTGAGTCTTAAAAACAAAACAAAACATCTAAACTTAGTGCAAGAGATTCAGACTTTTTGATCGTCACAGCATCTCATCAGTTCAGTCTCATTAAATGCAGAATGAGAGCAGGGCTCCTAGACCTGTAATTAATAACTGTATCTTCTGTATCCCTTATATTATAGAGAGCCTGAGGAGCTAACTTCCCATAATAAAAGGTGTGGCAATAATGGACATAAAAGGTGACTGTTGTCATGTGCTTTTGGTTTCAGGAGTGGCTGGTTTCCTGAAGCTTTCGTGAAGCCACTGAAGGAGGCGAGAGACCCTGAGGAGACCACCCCCAGGTGCTGTGAACCTGAGTTGCATCCATGGTGATATTCATACATGCTGTTCTTTGCTCTTGGGCAAAGCCTTGTTGAATGTGCCCCCATAAATTAACTCATGGATTGAAATAAGTTTAAAAAGCAGCAGATATATACAGCTAGCATCAAAAGCAAAACAGGTCAGCCAAAGTTGAAAAGACTGGAGAAATGGGAAATACAAGTTTTTGCTCAGCTCTGGAAAGACGTCAGCGGTTGCCCAGCAAGCCTTTCCAGGAAGAACATTGCAAAGCGACTGAAAAGGCTGCCTCCCTGGTGCTTGTTAGGCATGCCATTTATTTATTTGGAGAATTCCTGTGGAATTCTTGGAATAAAATCCTTTGTATGTTCATTAGCCTCTGGCGGGAATTTCAGTGTAAATGCTGGTATATGTGGAGACAGGTGGTCCTTCAGGTACTCTGGCTCCAACCAGTCAAGGCCAAAGAAATAAATAAATGTGCCCCCTGCACCCCAACAGCTTTTGCCAGCCTTTCTTTCCCCTTCCTTCTCAGAATGTTTCCTCTGCGGAGCAGTCGCAGCGTAGACGAGCTCCTGGATCGGCCCAGCACCCCATCGGCCAGCAATTACTGGCACAACCCCAGCAGACCTCAGTCTCCAGGTCCTTCTCCTGCTCTGCTGGGGGCAGGCAGCCGCCGGAGCAGCTCATCCAGTGCCGCAGCCACCTCAGACTCCAAGGTAAGTGCTTATGCCATTTTGGGGTGTTTGGGAAACCTGTTTGGGGGTTGGGAGACAGGAACAGAGCAATAGATTTGGATGAATTAATGATGCACAACAGGGTTGAGGAACTTGTGGCCCTTCAGAGGTTGTTGGGCTCCCACTCCAGCCTAAGGTTCCCAGATTTTTTTCAATGAATCCTTAACCAACCAGTTTCCAGGATTCTTTGGGGAAGCCATATTCAATAGATGTGCTTTAAATGTATAGTATGGACCTGCCTGCAGCATAACATGAGTGAATGGATGTGCATGGTTTTAAAAAGGTAACCAGTGGTCCAAGCAGCAACCACAAAGGGTGTGGAGGCAGAGTTTATTCCTTCTCCTGTTCCTAATGAAAATCATCTCCCCTGAAGCTGCTATTTGCTTCAGTCAGGAAGCATCTGTTGGACCAATGGAGGCTTCCCTTCTGATGCAAACAGGACATGATTTCATTTGTGGAATTAACATGGCATTTAGAAATCCCCTGCAATTCTCTGTTAGACGTCCTAATAGACATCTCAGTACTTCTGCAATTCCTCCCGTTACATCTGCTTATTGTCCTCACTCAGGACAGTCCTTCTCTGAGATGTTCTTCTCTTTCAGTTTACAGTAGCCACCCACAACCTCAAAGGATAGCATCCCATGCCACCCTCATCCATAGCCACCTTGGTCCCTTACTTTGCTACCTAGACAGAGGGAGCATCTCAGTCCCTTCTCTTTCGCTTCCCAGGGTCCCTTCAGTTCACTCCTCTTCTCCATGACATCTCAGCCTGATTTCTGGTGGCTCCGGGGCAGCAGCTCTTTCTGCTAACAGTAGGACGCTGAGTGTTGAACGTGGGCTTGGGTGGGGCCACCTGGCCAACTGATGGAGAAGCCTTCCTTTTCTCTCTTCCTCTGCTGAGCATTATGGAGTGTCTCTTCCAAAGGGGCTGTCTTGGAAGCAAAAGGAAACTAGTGTTGTGGTCTGGCGGATTCTCAGCTTCTAGGAATGGAAAACACAAGGGGGTTGCTGCTTGCTGTGGATTGAGAGTTTGGCCATGTTCACACGAATAGTTACTGCAATTTAACAAATGCACTTTATGAAATAAAATATGTCCTTTACACTCCCATGTTCATACTGTTACAAAAGTTGGACTCCACTGGAACAGTTGACATGAGGAAAGTACATTGGCTCCCGGTATGTTTTTAAGCACAATTCAAAGTGTTGGTGCAAATATCTGAAGATAGCCCTGTTTAGGGAAGTTTTTAATGTTTGATCTTTTATCGTGTTTTTAATATTCCGTTGGGAGCTGCCCAGAGTGGCTGGGGAAACCCAGACAGATGGGTGGGGTATAAATAAATAAATTAATAATAATAATAATAATAATAATAATAATAATAATTAACAACTCCCTGGTTAAAGAAGATTAATAACTTACCCTGCACTGTTAAAAGACAAATACTTCATCTTCCTCTCCTTGGCTGCCAAAGTAGCTCTCAGCAATATTTATTTATTTATTTATTTATTTATTTATTTATTTATTTATTTATTTATTGCTGCTATGACAGGAAGTGCCCAGATGGTACTGGGACCATTTTTTTAAAAAATTGAGAATGACCAGAAAACACAATAATGATTGATTACGGAGCTAAAGCTCAGTTTCAGTGCATAGGGGTGTATCCATTGCTGCCTTTCTGCACCCTGAAAATCTACTCCAGAGAGTTGAAGAAATTTGGGAGGGTGCATGCAATGGAGGAAGAGGAAGTCCACAAATGCTGGACACCTTATGCAGCAGGTCTCGGAAGTACCTCTGTCTTGGAGAGCTGTTGCCAGGTAGAATACACTTATGTTGGGCTATGGCGACAAAAGACTCCACCCAGTTTGGCATTTGTGGGCCAACTTGTCATTGAGTCAATAATAATGCATTGGTTGTGGAATTATACTGGACCATCCACACAACGTTCCAGTTGCTCTGTGATTCTTTCCCAGTGTTATTGTATTATGGCCACCTGGAGGGGCACTACAGCACGACAAAAGCAGAGCAAAAATTCAACAACCTTGGAATGTAAAAAGTTACAGAATTTCAGCAGGAAATGCACTGATTGGAAAGAAAGCAGTATGTTTGCCTGGAAATTTATGCAGGCATAATCAGTATTGAAAGTGGAGTCATGTATAACTGTCCTGATCATGAATGCACAAGGCTTCTTACCTTTATACATATGACAGGCAATAGGTATTACAAATAAATAAACAAAATATGAGTAACAGAAGAACATATGCCAATGAAAACCAGTCCAACCTCTGGAATAACCACACCTGGAGGGCCTAATGCTGTTTCTTTCTGTTCGTGTGAACACAGCCTTGGGTGTGTTGCTGATGTGTTTAGACAACTAGAGAGCTTGAACAGACGAGAAAGCATTCCCAGGTCACAATCTCCCATGTGTGGAAGATCTGGATTTCGTAAGCTTACCATGTGTAGGAGGGATTCTGACATGACTTCCCTTTTCAGACAAGTTTTCTGGACTTGCAGCAGAGGTCCCTTTTGCTCAGATTGGAGGAGGCCATTCTGTGATGAATGAGTCTTGCCATCCGTGTTTCAGTAGGCAAGTCTTTCTTGAGCAGGAGTAGCTAACTTGTGACTGACATTGCTGAACTGTATATCCCATCATTCCCAGACTGCATGGCCAATGGCCAGGGCGATGGGAGCTGGAGTCTAACAATATCTGGAGGTCCAAAGGTTAGCCACTTCTGTTCTACAGGCTTCTTCCTCTTCCCCTGGGGGATGTAACCTCCAATATAGGAATATATGCAAACTGAGCAAGCAAACACACACCCTCAGTAAATTTCATTGCAACAACTGAACAGTAATTTTTTTTTAAAAGCAAAACTATAAACTCTGAACAACCTGGTTTGATATTGAGTGGAATGGATCAGCGAATGTAAATTGGAGGTTGCTTTTTAAAAAAATTTGGGTTGGATGTGTATTGGATGCGCTTCTGACCTGCTGCCAACCATTAGTGCAGACACCACTTGAACCTATACATGTCTGTGTGTTTCGCATGTCCCTTCCTTTCTCATTTTGTCTCTGTTGAAAATTCATAAGGTATTGTTTCTCTCAGCCTTCACCTTTTTTTCTTTTCTTTTCTTCTTCACTGCAGAAGCCAGCAGGGAGGGAACATCATCCAGAACTGTTTCCCAGGTAAATGTTTGTGTCCTTTTTCTCCTGAACAATGTACTCCCTGCATATGTTAAGGCCATTTCTTTTAAGAGATGCTTTTAACTATATTTATTCGGACTATGTGATGATGCCACATCTCACTCACTCATCGGGGCAGGGAGTCGTTTTCAGCTTGAGGGCCACATGGCTTTCTGGGGTCCACATGTTAATGGTGGGTGTGGCCTGTAGACTAGTTTCTACACAAACAACACACCCACACACACCTCTAGCCTAGCCTCCTTCCAGGCAAGTGAGTGGCATTATCAGAGCTCAAGAACACATCCCAGTCATGCAAAACACAGCCAAGGAAGGTAGGCAAGGGCTGTGGTCTGGGGAGAAGAGGTGCAGTTTGGGAAGGGATATGGGCTGGGGAGTCTCAAGGGCCAAATGGAAAGAACTAGAGGGCCACATTCAGTCCTTGGGCCTGAGGTTCCCCACCCCTATTACACACATTCAAAGAGTATTATTTTGTCCTCTTAGAGCTACATACCCTCCAACATTTCTACAATGAAATTAGGGACGTCCCATTCCATAATGATAATTTTACTATTTATACCCCACACATCTTACTGGGTTGCTCCAGCCACTCTGGGCACCTTCTAACATATATAAAAAAACATTTAACATAAAAAAACCCCTTCCCTATACATGATTGCCTTCAGACAGCTCAAGGGTTGGATAACTCCAATATCCTCCAACATTTCTCCAATGAAAATAGGGACATCCCAAGGAAAAGTGGGACACTGCAGGATCAGATTGGGAACTTGGATGGCTTCTGTAAATGAGGGACGTCCCTGGAAAATAGGGACACTTGGAGGGTCTGGAGTTACAATACCCAACACTTCCCAATGCAGGAGATGTCCAGTTGACCTAATTCAATGGACAGTCCAGTTGACCTAATTCAATGGTGATGTTTAATGATTTATAATGTATATCACGAAAAGATGGACCTCATTCAGATATTCATAGATTAATAGTCTGAGATGAAGGAGCCTTTTGGCTGCCCAGGCAGCAGAGCCTTCAAGCAAACCCTGATCAAAACAGGAATGATCTAGTTCACCATGTTTCCCCATTTCATCTGAACTAGAAAACTACAGTCACCAGCTTTGGAACAAGCCAGGATATTAAAGCACAGTGGTTTGATACCCTGAATTGTTCCAGAACTGTCTAGTAACAATAGTTTCGCTGTTTGGCTAAAACGGAAGCTAAGGTTAATGAGAGACTTCCTGGCTCACACATGGCTTGTGTAAAGGGGCTTGTTCACATCTAACTTATTAAGCCCAGAATATGATGATGATGATTTATTAAATTTGTATACCACCCTTCATCCGTAGATATCAGGCCTGCTCACAATATAGAATTACAATATTAGAAACATAAAACACATAATAAAAATAAGAATAAAGATAACCCAATAATTCTCCTCCCATAACACATTTAAAAGGGCATCAGAAAAGGCCACAGCAGAAAAGGCCTGTTCTCATGTTGCCACCATATGGACCTCTCGTGGAGGACCCTCAGACGATGATTTCAGGGTCTGGGTAGGTTCATATGGAGAGAGGCGGTCCTTGAGATATTGTAGTCCTGAGTGTCCATCGAAACTAGGACACTCTGTGAAAGACCATATCCATAGCTGTCAACTTACAGATTTGAAAATAAGGGACCAGCAGCCTCGAAAATAAGGGATCAGCAGCCAAAATAAGGGATTTTCCGGGCACAGGTATGTTCGACTTCTGAGCCCCTCCGAGCCAAAGGCAGAAAGCCCAGCCAGCAGCCAAACGAAGCCTCAAGCGGTGGTTCCCACAGCGCAGCAACCCAGCAAAGGGGATGCAGCAAGGAAAACCACCGTCACCTCTCCGCTGGGAAGCGCTGAGCAAAGGCGAGTCCCCAGGCAACGTGGCCGATTTGATCGGCACAAGGCATGCAAGCTCCACCCCCCAGTCGTTCTTAGACTCCTTATTGGGTGAGCAATGCAGCCAAGCAACACAGTTGGAGCCTCCTTCCTCCCTGGCTGGCAGGCAGGGAGGGAGAGGAGCTGCTTCCTTTGAAACCCGGGAAATTTAAGGGACATCATCAATAAGGGACAGCAGCGGGACACGGCGCTGACATAAGGGAGTTTCCCGCCAAATAAGGGACAGTTGACAGCTATGACCATAACTGGTAATATCTGACCATATCTATTAACCTAGTAATTCATCTGACACCAGGCACTTTTCTGAGGACCACAGATTGTATCCAGTGTGTTGGTAGCCTTTATGTTGTAATGGAGTTATGTGGCTGGCTTGAATGCGTTTCCAAAAATTTAATATCCACCTTTCTTTTTCTTCTTCCTAGAGGTACCAATCCTTTCGCTACAGTCAAATTGCGCCCAACGGTGACCAACGACCGATCGGCACCCGTCATCCGGTGAAAGCCAGCTATGGTTTGGGGAGGGTGGGTGGCTTGCACAGAAAGTTGTCTTTAGCCTCCTTTTCCATGTCTGCTCATGTTGTAGTGGTCAATAGGTCCCGAGGTCATTTTGTTTTGTTCTTTTAAGGCTCCCCCCCCATCTGTGCAAAAGGTGCGTTTCTTTCCCATTTGTAGCGTGCATTTTGCCAGGTTGTGCTCTGCGCTACAATTTCCCTGCAAACTTTGTGCAAACGGGTGAGGATGACCGTGAACAGGCTGTCTGGAAGTGACTTTGGACTGGGCAGAGAAACAACTGCTTCAGACTGAAGATCGAGAGACATTACAGCAGAGAGCAGTCATCTGGTGTAGGACATAAGTAGGGCACTCTAGGAAGAGCCCTCAGAACGAGTCTGTGGAAAAGCCTTCAGAAATCTTCTGCTGGATACTTGGTTGATTTCATGCCCACACGGACAGCTCAGGAGATACTGGTCAACATGATATAATCCAAGCCAGTCATGACTGCCGTACAAAACATCTTGTTCTAAAACCATTGAGGGGCACCATTAATGTTCAATGGTCAGTCAGTAAATCTATGTGGAAGTCGGTCTTGAGAGACTGTCATGTAAACTTCCTTGCTCAGGTAACTTGCAGAATTGTCTGCTCCTCACCGCTGGTAGATTTAAAAGGTATCCTTGTTTGAAGACGCCTGGATTTCCTCTCCCACACCCATTCATCACAGACCACTGTGCTACCAGTTTTGATAAGCACAACTGGGAATAGTTCTAAAATTGCTGAGGAGAGCTAGCTGAACTGCATTATTTCACACACACCCAATATGTTTCTGTAAGCAGCACTAACAGAAATGGGGTTTTTTTTGGGGGGGGGGAGAAAGAAAAGAAAGAAAGAATAAAGTAAGAAATAAATAAACATCTCCTTTGGGTTGTGAAGTTCATATTTCAGGCGTGCCTTTTGATAGGGGAGGGGAGACACACTTCACGGAAAACAAAAGGGAAGAGCAAGTTGCGGTTGTTGGAGATCTTTCCTTTTCACCTTCGCTACTTCACTTTGCAAAGTGGTATTATCTCAAGGCAAATGTATCAATGTTCACAGAACTAAGAGGTTAGGAGGAAATGCAGGATTGTCGCCTTCCTCCCGTGCAAGTTGATTTGCCAGTTCTTTATTTCCCTTGCCTCTTGTCTCCTAAATAAGATGCAATGGGATGGTGATTTTGAAGAGGGTGAAACGTGCAGCCAGATTTCCTGCGTGCCCAGCTGCTTCCTCCATCTCACACTTCACTCAGACCCTCAGACACCCTGCCAATCCACAGTGCAGTACAGTCATATCTTGCATGAAATTAACTTGCACAATTTCAAACTTGTGTGGTTGAAATAGCTCAAATTAAGAGTCAGAGTTCAGGAAAGCTTGGGGAAAACATGTAAGTTTTAATGGGCAATTTGAAGGTCGTCACTGCCACTGACTCACACATTACCTGAGGGAGGCCACTGAGAGGGTGGGTGTGCTTCCACCAAAGAGGCCTGCTTTTGTGTTGTCACCAAGAGACAATCTGCTGGTCATGGAAACATCATCAGGGTAAATTTCAGAAGATCTAAAAGATCAACTTGTTCTACCAAGGAAGGTCATCCGCTAGGTAACTGGGCCCCAAGTTCTTTAGAGCTTTAGATGTCAAGAACAAAACCTTGAACATGGCTCTGTAGCTTATAGGCAGTCAAGTGCAGATCTTTCAACAGTTATTTGAATATGTGTTAAGCTGGGTGTCCCACTAAACACACAGGCAGCTGCATTTTGCGCAAGCTGCAGTTTCCAAACAAGGTGCAAGGTTAACCCTGCAAACAGCGCCTTATAGTCTTTGCACAAAGAATGGACTCTACTCCAAAAAAGCTTAAGCCATAATAATCTTGTTAAGTGGTGCTGCAAGACTCTGTCGTTTTGTTTTTTGCAACAGGCTAACGTGACATGGCTTCCTGTCTGGAAGCATGACCCATGGGTACTGCAGGGGCTTTCCAGTGGTGATTTCCATGATTGCAGGGAGATATTCTTTAGCCACTGGGCTTTGGGGAATACACATCCCCATTCTGGGTCATGGATGGAGAAGAAATTTGATTTGGTTCTCATTCAAAGGCAAACCTTCCTAATCCGCATTTTCCAAAACAATATGCAAACCGAAACTCAAGCATTCTTTGGAAGTCATGTTTCCCCAATTCCTAAAGTTCATGTCCACAGCCAAATAATATGTGTATAGAGATGCACATGTTACTGAAGAAAACATACAACAGCGCATTATGTTAGGGGAAATTGCATACAGAAATTTGTATAGGAGGAGAACACACTGAAATGCCGATGAATTTTCATGTGGACTTTTTAAAGTATACAGTGGTACCTCGGGTTGCATACGCTTCAGGTTACAGACTCCACTAACCCAGAAATAGTGCTTCAGATTAAGAACTTTGCTTCAGGATGAGAACACGGCGCGGCGGCAGCAGGAGGCCCCATTAGCTAAAGTGGTGCTTCAGGTTAAGAACAGTTTCAGGTTAAGAATGGACCTCCAGAACAAATTAAGTACTTAACCCGAGGTACCACTGTAGAATAAAATTGCAAACTGATGTGGAGAACTGAACTTAAGATGAGAAACTGAGAGAAAGTGAAATTGGTTGATTGGCCCATCCCCTAGGCACATGTCTCTCCATGTAAAATGCAGTGTTCAAAACATTCAGGGCATGTCACACAGAGAAGATTCTCAGTGTTTGAACCGTTCTAACAGATAAATTAAGACACCAAGAAATCCACCAAGGCTACTGCCAGACTGTTGGTATTTTGCGGGTGATATTCAGTCACAATATGACATATACAGGTTACTGAATTAAAGTGGATTTGTTGATCCTGCGCAGTGCATCAAACCCACTTCTAAAAATCCCCAGACTTTTTGCAGTAAGGAAAGTGATGAGGAAATTATTGGAAAAAGTAGAAACACAATCTCTTTATGCAAAGTCATGTAACCTCCCTGCAAACAAATCAGAATGGATGCTCAATAAACAGTAGATGTTTTCTAACCTCCCCAAAGACTGTATGAATAAATCAGGATGAATGAGCAGTAAACAAATAATCTCTGGAAGTGACCCTGGAGCCTCTGAGCTGGACTTTTGCATTTTTGCTAGGGTTGCCATATGCCTGAAATTTCCCGGACATAGCCAGAATATTGCAGTCAGAAGCAGTGTCTGGGCGTAAACCGCTAAAAATGTCTGGGAAAATCCAGACATATGGCAACCTATGCCGGCAATGTCGTTTTGGACAATTTTCCTTAGAAATAGCTCAAAAACTTCCTTTTTTTGCAACCTTGCTCAACAACTTTGAGCAAAACTAAAAAAAGCTAAACAACTCATGTTGTCATGTGTTTATTGCTTTTATCACAAGAGGAAAATATACAAAGGTTCTGTGGAAAGCAATTGTTTGCATTGTTGCTGGGTTTGGGGTCACGTTCACACCATACATTTAAATCACACTGCTTTCCCTCCAAAGAATCCTGGGAACTGTAGTTTACCCCCTCAAAGAGCTACAATTCCCGCCACTCTTAACAAACCACAGTTCCCAGGATTCATTGAGGAAAGCCATGTGCTTTAAATGTGTGGTGCAGCTGCGACCTTGAGACTGTATTATGCATTTCATTGTTTGCCTGTTGCTTCAGAATCTATCTTCTGATACAAACCTGCCTTTCTAAGACAGCAAACCACCTTATTCAAACATGCTGCCCTGAAGACTCTCTTAACGTGTAAAATACATTTTAATATTGAAGAGAATATTAATTAATTTTTTGTATTTTTTAATAATAAGATCAAATTCTGTCTTGTCAAAATAAACAAGAAATATGCCTGGATATTGTTATGTGGCACCTCACTTCTCTGAGCAGTGAGATGTTCCAGCAATATTGATTTCCCGTTGTTTACATAACAAAGGGATGAGCCCGTCAGACCTGCCCAGCAGGTTTACCTTGAACAAAAACCAGCTGAAGCTCACATCAATATTTTCCTTTGCGCGCTCCACTTCCTTGGACTGATACAGCCCCCTTCTGCTTTTACCTGGTGCAGGTACCACCCCCCTTCCCTCACAGGGCAGCTTCAAGGTCCAGCAAAGAGACTCTGTTGCCATGGAAGGCCTGAGGGGAAAAGCTCACCAGATGGTGGCAGAGATGAAACTGATCTCAGGACAAAATGTCACCAACATGAAAAACTGGATCACACGGAAATAATGTTTCTGATGTCCGCATGTTGAAATGATAACATATTCTTGCAGAAAGAGATACTAGATTTCTCTTTCTTCCCAATCTGCTAAATAAGCAAAGCATGTTGTGGAGGTGGACAATGCTGAGCTAGATGGACCAATGGTAAGACTCAGTATACAGTGGTACCTTGGGTTAAGTACTTAATTTGTTCCGGAGGTCCGTTCTTAACCTGAAACTGTTCTTAACCTGAAGCACCACTTTAGCTAATGGGGCCTCCTGCTGCTGCCATGCCGCCAGAGCATGATTTCTGTTCTCATCCTGAAGCGAAGTTCTTAACCCGAGGTACTATTTCTGGGTTAGCGGAGTCTGTAACCTGAAGCGTATGTAACCCGAGGTACCACTGTAAAGCAGTTTCCTATGTTACCTGAACAAGCAGCCTGGTGCCTTTGACATGCCTTTGGTAGTTCAGTCTAACCGCCACCAGGTGGCAGCAGAATCTAGCAGTCCTTTCCTATTTCCCTCTCAGTTCCTGTAGCTGGTCCTTTGCTAAGGAATGTCCACAAGGCCAGCCCAGGATATTTTGCTGCTTGAGGTGGAACAACAAATGGTACCTCCTCCCCAGGGGAAGGTGCATGGTGCACATGGCTGGCTAGTCCAACCCCTGCAATGCAGGAATATACAGCTGTCCCTTATGGGGATCGAACCTGCAACCTAGGAGATATCAGCACCTCCTCCTCCTTCTTTGGCGATCACTCGTAGCTAAGTAAGATTGTCTTCCATGAACACTGTTTTAACAGTGAGTCCGTAAGTGACTGTGGAGGCCAATTCTGGATCCACACAGTAGGGACATAGGTTTCCAGGTGGGAGTTGATCACGGTGTGGATTTGCCAAATGTGCCTTCCTCTTAGCAGGTTTCTCCCTTGCGTCCTGAGTTCGAGCGTCTTCAGAGCCCATGACACCTTTGGTAAAGGCTGTTCCCCAATTGGAGCGCCTGCAGTCCAGTGTTTCCCAGTTGTCGGTGTTCATACTACATTACTTTAGATTTGCCTTGAGAGAGTCTTTAAACCTCTCTTGTTTATCAGCACCACGCTCTAACCAACTGATCTATCCAGTTAGCAAGTCAACAAGCATAACTTTCGAGGGAACTAGGCTTCAACAGGCAAGCTTGATTTTCGGCTGATTTTTTCATACCAGGGTTGAGCAGCCAACTGGCTGATTGCCAGGTGAGGAACCAGTTTGGATTGCCAGCCCTTGCAGGCAGCATTGAAGAAAGTCATCCATTGATACCCTTAGCCTTCATGAATTTGGCTAACCTGCTTTTAAAGTATCCAAGCTATATTTTTCATTGTATGGGGTGGAATAATAATAATAATAATAATAATAATAATAATAATAATGGGAGAGAACTCCAGAGTTCCTTGAATTTGGCTTGGTAGTAAATTGGCAGCTAGTGTAATTCTCTCAGGACTGATGTTGTATGATCCGGAAGGAGCTGACCATAGCTGCAGCCCCACAAAGAATGCATTGCAGTAATCCATTGGGAAGGTTATGCGCCATGTGCCAGAGCGGCAAGGCTGTCCTTTTCTTGGAACAGCTGGAGCTGGTGAACCGGCCACTATTAGATGTGACGCTTACCTTTTCCCTACAGTAAACAGAGACTATACTGGGTTGGCACACA